CATGTTGGGTTAAAAGATCGGCTAATTCCCTAGCTGACGGTTTAGCTAAACAAGGGGCAGAAAGGGATTCACTGTTTTGGGCTAAGCTGTAACTTTAGTGTATTCTTTTCTCTTTTTCTTCTTTTTTTTTTTTTTCTTTTATGAGGCTCTTAGTGACTCTTGGAAGATAAGTGTGTTTGCCTTCCTCCTGTAAATTTTCTACTGATGATTTAATGAAAGTGTTATTGATAAAAAAAAAAAGTGTGTATCAACCACACGTGTGATACTCACATAGTTGTTAAGGCGACGCCTAGGTGACAAGGCGCTCTTGGAGTCTCGCCTTACCTAATTGCCAAGCAGTTTTCTATAGCGTGTTATAACAAACTTTTATATTCTTAATTTTTTGAGGTTATAATTATAAAATAGACATTTTTAAACTAAAATACTAATTTTGTGTGCTTATATACTAATTTGTTTTTGTTATTTTCTTATTTATTAGGGTTTAATCAACACAAACATTGCTAAATGCTGTATTGAACCCTCAAAGACTTCAAAACCTGAACCAATAAGTAAGAAAAAACATAAAATGTTGTCCAATCAACACATTTTCTTCTTTTTCTTTACTAGTTTTGTGTTTTTATATACTAATTACTTCTTCTTCTTCTTCCACCTTTTCTTTTCTTCTTTTCCTATAACAGAAATAGGAATTCAGCCCCTATATTTTTTGAAATTTCTTTTCTTTTCTTTCTTCCTTTTCTTCTCATGAATATGTTGGAATATGTTGATTTTCTATACTTTAACATGAAGTTTATACTTTTCTTATGAAAATTATGGATATTTATTAAGGAAATATGATTACGGAACCTAGGGAACTACCTTAGGATACATGTTTTTACTTGAAAAAAATCCATCTCCTAGGTGACTAGGAGACTAGGCGCCCCCCTGTCGCCTAGCCTTGTCTTGGCGCCTTGAAAACTATGGATACTTATACACCCCACCATGTGGTAGCATGTATGAATGCCACGTGGAAGCATAGGCACATTAATGTATTCAATGACACGTGGATGCAATATCATTGACTTACCTTCAGGTGCCATGTGACATCCATATATGTCACCACGTGGCATCTACATGTCAATGACCCATATTTGAATGCCATGTGGCATTTATATATGATACACATGGCATCACCATATTATCGACCTACATTCAAATGTCATGATGCCACGTGGCATGCACACATAAAACATTTTTTTGTATCTAAACGTCATTATTTACTTTGAAAAACATGTTTTTGAAAAAATTCCATCAAAACGGTTTTTGAAGTAGAAGTACAAAACCAAAAGCATACACATACTTTGTACTTGGTGCTGTTGAAAGCACAAAGCATAAAGTACCGCCAAACAGGGCCTTAGTTTATGGTGAAATTGTGAATGGATTCTTTATACCTTATTTGCTATTGAGAAGGAACCACATGCAACTCTTGAGTAGAAACAGTCTGCTTGTTTGGGATTTTGTCATAGTGCATTATACTAGCCATTTTATATATCCCTTTCTCCACATGAGGAAAATTTGAATTTTCTTCAGAGCCATACTTTATTCTTTGTTTTTCTTTTGATAGTCAAAATTAAAATGGAATTTTATTGCAGAAAGGAAAAAACTCCTTACCATCTAAAGAAGTGGATGGTAAGATACAAATACAAACAGCCTAAATAAGCCGATCACATCAGTTTCTTTTATATAAAAGCAATTCTTTACAAATTACCCCAAGACCATGAAACCCCTGTTCTAGCTAGAGAGTCTCCCAAAGTATTGGCAGCTCTTGAAACCCACCTGAATGAACTAGAGACCTGTTATCCAAGGAACCTCTTCCCCTGATCTTAACCAAAGTATGATCACTTGGCGGTCACATTCAAAAAAGCAGATCTGTTCAGCCCAGCGAGGGAATGGCCATTCCCTCCTCCTCCCTTGGGAATGAGATTCCATTCCTGCTGATTCCAATTCCAATTCTGATTCCGATTCCCATTTGAACTAAACAGACTATGGTAATAGACCATTCCGATTCCGATTCCGATACTTTCATTTGCTAATAGTAGTATAGATGCTTATACTGCTTGGATTTTCATACCTTTTATTAATCTTAAATCTTTCACTATATATATCACCTGCAAAATCTGATAAATTATTAGTCTTATGATTTTAAATCTTTTGCCTCCAGTTTACTGCAACTGTATGGTAACATCTGAGGACATGTAGTATTTTTTTTTTACATGCCTATATACGTATCATGTAGCACTTGCCTTTTTCCGCTTTTTATATAATTGGGTTTATGAAGGTATTTTCTCAATTGATTATTCCTGACCAAGTTATCCATTCCACTTTTAGTTCAGATTGATAATTGATTATGAGTAAATCTATAACTATCAGGTGCATCAATAATTGAAAATTTTCTACAATAATCATATTAAATTTGGATTAGATAGAGATTTCTACAATAATTTGTACACTATAAACCCTTGGATTAAAAGTTGTATCCATGAGTTCGCTTGGTAAATAAGAATTGAAATTCCATTGTTAGATCTGCTTAAAAGGGCCATTACCCAATGTTGGTCCCAGCTATCTGGGGTTTTGGAAGCCATGCTAGTGTTGAAAACTAGCATTTAGAATTATAAGTTTAAGTGGTAATCTTAGTTCTTAGAGGGGGTTTTGACAAGATATTCATTGAAGTTTATTCCATGATGCCAAGGAAGATAATGGGTTTATATCATCCCCAATATTCAGGGTGTTTATCCTAGTAGGTGAACTCTTATCATGGGTTCAATTAAGAATGGGAGTTTCAAGGTCTTCATAAGATTGATTTTGAGGGGGCACGACAACTGTGGCAGTGCTAATTTGAAAGTTTTTGAGTCATTGAGGCATGGATTTCAGGTTTCAAGGATCCAGATTCTGTACATCAGCTATTTGTACTCTCCTGTTCTCTTCGTTTTTGTGTTGGAGAAGTATATGGGTGAATGTTGGAGGGTCTTTGAATTAACGAGAGTGGCTAATTTCACCCCAGATAGTGTGTATGATATATTGGGTGTATACATGTCCTTTTCCTTATTTTTGTCCAATGGATCCAAATTATATGCCAAGTTAGTTCTTGTGGAGGCGATGAGGGTTCTTCATTTCTTTATAAGAGGAAAAAATAATCATTTTGTAATGTTCAGTTGAAAGTTAAAGCAATTTTAGGCATGTTAAAGATCTAAAATAAATATGTAAATTTACTGTGGTAGAAGCATGAAGTATAGAATAATCTAATTTATGTTGAATTATGGAAGTTAACAGGCAAGCATAGTTTTCAAGGTGCCAAGGTGAAGCTGGGCGTCAGGGGGGTGCCTAGGCGTTGCCTAAGCGATTGATTTTTTTATAGAAAACATAGATCCTAGGGTAGTTCCCTAGGTACCATTAGCCATATTTCCTTAATAATTGTTCATAATTTTCATAAGAAAGTATAGAGTTCATGTTAAAGTATAGAAAATCAACATATTCATGAGAAGAAGAAAAAAGAAGGAAAAGAAAATTCAAAAAATATAGGGGCTGAACCCTTATTTTTGTTATAGGAAAAGAAGAAAACAAAAAGTAGTAGTAGAAAATGTGTTGATTAGACAATTTTAAGTTCTTCCTTATTTATTGGTTCAGGTTTTAAAGTCTTTGAGGGTTCAATAAAGCATTTAGCAATGCTTGTATTGATTAAATCCTAACAAATAAGAAAATAATAAAAACAAATTAATTTATAAAAACACAAAATGAATATTTTAGTTTAATAGTGCCTATTTTATAATTATAATGTCAAAAAATAAAGAATAAAAAAGTATTTTATAATACATAGTGCAAAACTGCTTGGCGATTAGGTGAGGCGAGCCTCAAAGGGTGCCTTGTCGCCTAGGCGTTGCCTTGACAACTATGCAGGCAAGGCATATTTTCTGTTTTGTCACTTTATGCAGGTTGAGGAAAACAACCAAAGAGATCTAAATAGTTTTTGTTAGAAATGTTATTTACATGTGGGTAATTGTTTCAAGATCATTCTTCCCCTTGAGTGAAAGCATCACAGTCCTTGGTGTAACCTTTAGGACCTAATATTTATAATTTGTCAAGGTATACTTTTTTTATTGGCTGCTGAGCCTTTGCAAGAAAAATAACAATTCTTTTAGGGTGTATATTGGGATATATTGTATGATAAAATTTGCCTGGATATTGTTACTATGGTAGTACTATTTGGGACACAAAATTATGAATCTATTTATGGAATGAGCTAGAAATTCATATTGGGTAGTAAGTTCCTTATTTTACTTTTTAAAATTTAACATTGTCCTTTTCATTTTTCATTTACAGAAACAAGTAACTTGGTCTGACGTTGCTGAAACAGGTGTGTTCTCCTAGGTGTGAGCTGTGGTGCAAACATTGCAGACTATGTTGCTAGAAAGGCTGTTGAGGCAGGCAAGCTTCTAGATCCTGTGAAGGTGGTAGCACAGGTTTTGATGTACCCTTTCTTCATTGGGAGTGTCCCCACACATTCAGAGATTAAACTTGCAAATTCTTACTTCTACGACAAGACCATGTGCATCCTTGCATGGAAGCTTTTCCTACCTGAGGAGGAGTTCAGTCTGGACCATCCAGCAGCCAATCCCCTCATCCCAGGGAGGGAGCCACCACTGAAGTATATGCCTCCAACACTAACAGTGGTGGCAGAGCATGATTGGATGAGAGACCGTGCAATTGCATACTCAGAGGAGCTTCGAAAAGTTAATGTTGATGCACCAGTTCTTGAGTACAAGGATGCTGTTCATGAGTTTGCAACACTTGACATGCTCCTTAAGACTCCGCAAGCCCAGGCCTGTGCCGAGGACATTGCAATTTGGGTTAAGAAGTATATCTCACTCCGGGGTCACGAATTCTCTTACTAATTAGTAGGTAAAAGGAAACCCAGAACCCAGAAACAGCTGCAGCAGGAGCAGGAGCATCAATTTTTGTATCTACATTTCATCTACAAGATAGGGGTAAGTTGAATTGCGTGATTCATGCCAATATAGCCACGTTGTTTGTAGGAATGTTCCACAATTTTTTTATTTACCTGTTTATTTTTGTAAGATAGAGAATTTATTTGAGGGTAGGGTTTATAGTTGGACAATGAGCATTTTCCTCCATGTCTTGAGGTCATATGCGTATGTTCTTAGAACTTTTTTTTTTTTTTTTGCTCTTGTTCTTTCTATTTGTCCTTTTTCACTACGAGATGTATTATTCACCGTGAATATAATCAATTAAGAGATGCATTCATTTTCCTCTTTGCGTGCCTTTGAACCTTCTACTTTACCCCTACGTACCTACACCATTACGCAACTTATCGCTCTTTGACTATTTCCCGTGTTCTGCGTTGGATCCAAAACTTTACAGAAAGGAATACAAGAAAATAAGTGGAATAATATTGTATTCTATTTGATGAATGCAACCGATTTATGTAACTTTTTTTTTTTGTTATATAGTGAGAGAGGTTCATGGCAAATATAACTGCAGGATATTTTTGTAGCTGCTTGATGCTGGATTCGACAACTAACTGTTTATGATACTTATTTCAAAATAACATTGCGAGAAGAAAATGATATAGGGACAAGGAACTTGGGACTCAAGGCTTTCAATGAGAATCTCATGCTTTCCCCAAAGCCGGCGGCCATGGATAGAATTATAAACCCAACAGGCCAACATCTTGAAGGGTGGCGTGCATTCTAGGTTAGAAATTGATCCAACCAAGTGGTTGTAATTTGTAAATGTGCCGTGATATTCTCGAAGTTCGAGAGTTTATATTAGATTATGGCACAATAAATTTGTCCAGGTGATGGATGGGATGTTGAGTGATGCTGCCCTTCCCCTACCGATTGAAAATTCTTTTCCCAGAACAGGAAACTATAACATAGAAAGTTGGAATTAGTTGGGAGGAAGACGATGGTTAAACTCCAAAATCCTCGGAATTGAATGAAGGCGATTAGCGTTTTGATCGTTCTATGTTTGCTTTACGGGGACAACCATTAGGCCCTTTTTCGTTTTAATTTCAAATAAATCTATGTTCATGTCAGATTGTGGTCTTCAGAGAAAGTAAGCTCATAGTGCATAAGAAGATGGCTCCTGGCCTCTTCAATCTTCATGCCACCTGAGTTCTACTTCTTCAGTCATGAGAGAAAGTGATGAGGTCAGGGGTATCCTGATCTCACTGTTGCAGCCGTGGCTTCCCATCCCTTTCCTTATCTACCCATGGTGGACAATGGTGTCTCTTCCTGGTCTATTCCTTCCTATTTCCTCCATTGAAACAAAGAACCATAAGAGACCGAAAGAGGGGCATTGTAAATAGTTGTATACAGAGTTACGACCTTGTCACGAGGAAATCCATTGACAAGAAGGTTCGATCGTTTAGCGCTTATTAAGTATTTTGCCCGTAGACTTTCTGCTTCTTCTTCTTCTTCTCGAGACGGAAAATAGTATGACCTCATGTCACTGCATTCTTGATGAACCAATGGTTTGATATCTATGGAGCTCTCGTTTCGGCAATATCAACTGTAACTAGTCTTAACAAATTCTCCTGCTGATCTCTTGCCATGCTACCAAATCGAATCGATTTGTCCTCGTCATCTCCCACCAGAGCGTCATTTCTATGTAATCTTGTTCTGGAGTCTTCCATTAAACTATTTTGATTTACTTGTTCTTCTTTCTGCTAATGGTATCTTAAAAATCAACACCATTGATACTGAAATAGTTTATAAACATGTTGCCTGAAACCTCCATTCTAGGCTCTTTTAGGATAAATTCATTTTTATTAGTCAAATCGAAATGAATTTACATGGGCGGTTATAAATTAATCTTATCCTTATCTGTGTGTCCTTTGTGTTAATTTATTGGATAAGAACGGACATCTCGGTAATTCGACTCTATAAATCCATTTAATTTCCCGAGAGAGAGAGAGAGAGAGAGAGAATGGAAGCTCTAGCCGTCTTTGGAGGAAGTCCCTGTGGTTCATCCTTTCATTCAACAGCTGGGAGGAATGACAGCTTTATCCGTCTCCCGGAAGCTTTTGCTATCCACCCAGCATCTTGCTTCATTACGCCCATCTTCACTCTTCTTATGTTCTCCACCTCTGACCTCTAAAATGCGGGCAAAGAAGAACAAGCCCCATGTCTTCCTTCCCCACTTAGTCGCTTCCATGGTTGGTTTCTTTCCTCACTGTTATCTCTTCAATTTCTGCTAAGATGGCTAAGCCCATTTAAATTTTCTTCTTTCCTTTGTGATTGTTCTTTGGTCTACACATCCAGGAAGAAGTTGAAGAGACATACATTATGATAAAGCCCGACGGTGTCCAACGAGGTCTGGCACGATTCTCTGTCTCTGTCTCTGTCTCTCTCCATTATTTTTGAAGTTTAATGAAAAAAATAAGTTATTTAGCACAAGAAATGATTTGTTCAAATCATATATTTTTCTCTTTATAGGTTGGAGAGATAATATCCAGGTTTGAGAAGAAGGGATTTAAACTGAAAGGATTGAAACTTTTCCAATGCCCCAAGGAGCTTGCTGAGGTTTGTGCTTGAACCGCACCTTTATTCACTTGTTTGTTGTCGATGTAAGGAACCTATACGTGTTTTAATGCCTCCAATTTGAGTGAAATATACCCATTTGAAATGCATCTTAGAGATGAACAAAAGAATTCTAGAGTCTTTCGTGTAGCTGCTGTGATAACTAAGTTGGTTAAAGGAGCATTAGCTGAGCCCCTCTTTAACATTCTTGCCTCCAACTTGAAGGTTACCAGAACATTACACAGTTTTCTATTCTCAACCCACGTATGCTCTGCTTCTTCTGTTTATTTCTTTTAATTGTTATAGGAGCATTATAAGGATCTTCAAGCTAAGCCTTTCTTCCCTAAGCTGACTGAGTACATTAGAGGGGATCTAGCAGTACAAACAGGAAGGTCAGTTTCTCAGCATCTGCTATTTAGTCCGGTCTTATCTATACTTAGTCTAGAATTTTGTTTGTATAGCTCTGCCAGTTAGATTGTCAACGACATATTCTTCTGAGTTATGATGAACCTGTTTGCAGGAATGTTATCCATGGAAGTGACAGCCCTGAGAATGGTAAACATGAAATAGGTGTGGCCTTCAAGTTCTTACAAATTCAAATTTTGATAAAAGTACTATAGATAGAATTCTTGCTTATGAATGTTCTCACTTGTCAAGCTTGTAGTGTTCTCTTATTTGAGTTCTCTGATTCAAGTAAGTCTGGCTACATTTCTTCAACAACCATGTGATAAACCTTTAGTTCATTTAACATAGGGATTCTTATACTTTTTTACACCATGTCAAAGTTAGGATACCTTGTGGCTGGTGCATTGAACCTGCATACAAGTGCATTCATTATTATACATAAACTGATGGAGCATCAGTAATTAAGACAATTTTGGAATGTAGAATGTAATCATGAATTAAAATACTTCTAAATTATAAGATGGACATGGATAATAGGTTTTGTATGCATTTGTACCTTTCCTAATCTTTGTAATTGGATTATTTCTTGTTTATCCTTAATTCCTTGTTGTGTAAATAAAATTTTCTTTTCTTTTTCAAAAATCTTAATTCTCATAATTATATTAGTTACTCTGTGTTGTACTTAATTTCTGTTTTCTGCATGTGCATCCACATGGACCACATCAAGCCTAGATATGTTTAAAGGAATTTGAATGCCAATTTTACAGATCTTTTATGGGTTTTTTTCCCCTGTTTTCTATTTATACGCAATCACTGTATTTAAGAACTTTTACTTAACACATCTGTTAAAGAATGGTCCATTTTAAGTTTGAAAAGGAAAGGAACAACATTAAGAAATGGATAGGTATTTAGTTTTTTTTTTTGAAAAAATATATTGATATGGTAATGTATTTGATAAAATGTTTACATTAATTAAAAAGGTATTACACTATTGTGATAACTTCAGTCATGTATCATGACGGTATGTGTCTCACAAGCTCGGTATTGGGATCAGGATAAACATGATTAACATTCACAAATAGGGCATCATGGATGGCATACCTTGCCTACATGGTAGCTTGGCAATGCAAAGTTGTGACTTTTCTGCTTAAGGGATTGTCTCATAGTCTGCATGTAACCTTCAGTTTCAAAAGATTTATTATAAATCCGGTCTGTTGACATTTACTTTCTGCAGATCTCTGGTTCAAATAAGGTGAATTATGTCAATGGACACAAGTTCAAGCATCTTGGTTAAGGGAGTGATTTTCAGGATGTACGCATCACTTTTGGAGAGTTCTATCAGATATCTTCCGTTTACATGTCTTTGGTGATTTCATAAAATTTGATGATCTGAGATGAGATTGCAACATTACAGTATTATTTTTCCCAATGAATAGATTACATATCAAATTGTCAATGTGTAAGTTACCTGTTTCTTTGCACCCATCTCTTAAACTTTTTTTTGGCACCCCATCTCTTAAACTTGAAAAGATTATGACTTTTTTTTATAGGTGAAGAGACTATGATTCTGTTGGTTGAATCTGTTACTGTACTCACTGAGAAGTGCATAGACATCTTAGTAAATAACATCTACTTAGGTCCAAATTCAAGAACCAATGTCATTGCATTCCCCTCAAACAATGAGGAGAGATAAGATAACCGACCTTGCTTAAGTATAATAATATTTTTGGGTATCACTCCATCTGGCTGGAGCAGCGGCATGCTTTCTTGTCAAATCTCAATTAAATTTCATGATTTCGTCAGACCTTTAGACGTATGGGGCATAAGCCTCATAGATTACCAATGTTTGAGAGAAAGGTGAAACATTTAGTAGTGCTTGTACCTTCTCTAAAGAAAATTAAAAAAAAAACTAATACCTAGTTTATTTGAGACAAATTGTTGAAGACTTTTCAAACTGAATCATAGAACCGGAAAAGCTTAGAGTACAAGCCTGAAATGAACCAAGGAAATTGATAGTCATTAAAGAGAGATTTCTTTCCAAATGATCTGGATTGGTCTCAAACATCCCTCCACAGCAGGGTCTATTTGGTTCACAGTCGGAATTGGAATTGAAATCCCTCGGAATGGGAATTGGATTGGTCTGTTTGGTTCAAACAGAAATCAAAATGGGAATTGAAATCAGTTAGAATGGGATTTTATTCCCAACGGAGAGAAGAGCGGGAAATGATCATTCTCTCAAATGGGAAAATGCCATTCCTTCCAAAATGGGAATAAGAATAAGATTCTCATTCCACCCAGCCAAACAGTTGGAAACAGAATAAAAATTCATATGAGCTCCCTGTAACGTGCACCCCACAGGGGCCCCACAGCCAATCCCCTCATGCATTGGAAACATCTCCCCTGCTGTCATGGGGAGATGTTCCCAATTCACCGGAGGTTTGGGCTGTAGGGTGCCAGTGGGTGTGCTATGTGGATCTCATCTCTAAGAATGGCTCATTTTGATTCCGATCCTGATTTTAGATTCCTATTTGTAAGAACCAAACGGCCCTTAAATGTGTATGCAATTATTGTACTATTATGAAGAGTTGACACAAATAGATTCAAGGCTTCAAGCTCACCACAAAGCAACGGAGGCTGCGCTAGGACTCTTTCCCTCTGCTTTTCATCGCAATTCTTCTATTTAGGTGCAATTGCAGGAAAAAAAAAAGTGGACATCAAGAGTCCTTTCCCAGTTAGCATTGCGTCCTTTTTAAAGATGAATAGAAGTTTTTTTTTAAATTTCCATGGGTGAAGGTGAACATTTTCATCCATTAGATTTATTTGCCACTTAAACGATCTCTTCAACTCAGTATCAGACTACACCAACTGATGGTGGCCCAGTTGGTGGGGTATCTGGCTGAAAAAAAAAAAAGAAAGAAAAAAAGACACGAACTCGGTATCAGACAGCAGTTTCATTCCCGTTTGAGAGTAAAGGGACCAACAACAAATTATTAAAACCAATACAAATATGGTAGGAAAAATTTATTATTACACAGAACAACGTCTTAGTACAGACACACAGTTAATAATCCAAGCAGCTGAAACAAACACAATAAATCAATGGAAAGAAGAACCCATCTCTCCGTAGACTCTCTCTCTCTCTCAGATGATGACAAAAGAGAGGGAAGATGGCAAGAAGAAGGCCAAGAAGGCAAAGAGTGCTGAGAGGATCAAAGGAGGCGAAAAAGCAGCGGAGCCACTATGTCCAGCTCCAGCATTAGGAGCCTCGGCTGGTGCATGATCATGTCCTGAATGAGCAGCCACCTCTGATATGCCCACTAATATCAACACCGCCATGACTTTGCACATGTAAGAGAATGGAGAACTGGGCCTTCCTGTTGCCATTTCTAAGCCGAACGAGGAAGAATGACAGAATGAGAGACACAGAACGGTAAGAACTTGGAACGAGGAAAAGAAGCCAACTTCCTACAAGGTTCAGGTCTCTCCCACACTATACTTTTATAGGGCTACACTTCTGGTCAGAGATGAGGTGGCGCCCTGGACAGAATTGAGGTAGTCGCTGGTTATGGAATAAATTATATATTCTTATGAGAATATTTAAAAAAAAAAAATTAAGGTCAACCGTGTCTCATCGCTTGATGTAACAGAGGAAAATGCTTTGGGTTTTGGCAGTCCATCCTCCGTTAGATTAACATCAGACGGCGGGCAGAACTGGAGAGAGGAGGAATAATCAACACAGGCATTTGGGTAAGGCTTGTACTTAGTACTATATAATCATAATGCAGTACAATTAGGAAAAGAATCCTAAATTCCCATCAATTAATGAATAACGTAGTGTTGTACTCTTCTTGGAACTGGTCTATGATGCTTACGGGATCACCACGGATGCTGATTTAATTCACTGGTTGTAAATAAAAGGTAAAGATATAAATTAATATTATGTTATTAAATTTATTTTTTTTATTATTTATATAAAAATCAAAATAAATATTTATTTTATGCCAAAAATTGAGATTTGATGTCAGAAAAAGGATTTGTTTTGAAAAAAAAAACAAAATTGGGGTTGGGTCAATTGTAAAATCAATATAAGAATCACCCCAATTGAACAGCTATAGTAAAGTACATGTGGATTGTCAAGGTTACAGACTTATTACAGGTGGAGTGTCCAAATCATAGAGAATATTTGGGCTGGGCTGGGCTGGGCTGGGCTCTGGCTTTCAGAATTGAGTTGGCACCTTCAACTTTGCTTAGTTCATTACATATTTAATAGTGTTTAGGTAGAATAGAAAGGATGGATGGATAGTAGATGAGAATTTAAGCTTTCATTGAATATGTCCAGTACCTTACCTTTGAAATTGTGTTACATGCATGCATCATGTTGCATCTCTCATCTAGTCATCTCTATTCTCTATTCCCCCTCTAAGCCCTAAATTAATTAATTGGTGGACCTCAATTTGATGATGAGGCAGTGAGGTGGCTGCCTCAATTTTCTTTGATTGTCATTTATTGTTCGTACTTCATACATATGTTTGTGTGTGTCAAACGAAGCAATTTTCCACTTCCATCTTCCATGGACGATGACTTTATATGTGTTTGCTTTTAAATAAATAAGCAGTGATTATGATTTATCATGGATTGAAAAAATAAAAACTTGACTTTGAGCGTGATGATGATGGACTTACCTACTCTCTAGCTAGTTTCAATTCCTAAATCAGATATCTCAAAATAGAAACTAGAAAACCTATGATCAAGTTTCTCAAACTATGCAGTTATGCCTGATACTGATAGGGCTGTAAGTCGGGTTGGCCCGAGTTAACGGTTTCCACTGTTCCAGATTCAGGCTTTGAGTTGGGCTCATTGAAATTTTAACAAAATCCTAATCCTAATCCGCAAAAGTTGCACCTTAGTATTGATAATCGTGTTGTCTTGTACGCAAAGTCATCTCTCATAGTCATTCACAGTGATAGCCTAACAAGTGCGTCAACAACGTAATTGCATAGGCAAGAAGGCCCACAAGAGTGACGCTAACTCAAGTTTCCTTAACATTCTCTCACAATGACTCTGTCGCATCTTTTCATTAGATACTAGCATCCATTAGTTCCCTTTGGTGGAAGGTGAAGAAATCCTCAATTTTGTAAATCCAGGCTGTGGGTGGGAAGTCTAGGGGTGTCAATTGGATTGGATTTGGTCCAATCTGATCCAATCCAACATGAGTCCATTACAGATGGATCAACTCCAATCCAATCCAGTGAATATTTTGGGCCAATTTGAACCAGTCCAATTCAATGTCTGGACCATCCAATCTGTTCAAATTGGATTTAATTTAGAATGATTTCAACCAAAATCTGGTTCATTAACACTTGTATTCTCTTATCTTGTATCTATGGACTGGATATTGGTTCGATCCCACCCAATCTAATATAAATCCATTATAGATGGGCCAGACTGAATCCAATCCAATTCAATAAACACTTTGGGCTATTAAGTCTGGACTAGACTGGTCCAATTCAATATGTCTCATTTGGTCCATCCAATCCATCCAGATTGATTTTGATTTGGACGGTATCCAACCCCAAACCGGTCCATTGAGATACACCCCTAGTGGGTACTGCTCAACTGGGATCTTCTCCTTCAAGGATCAAAAAGAGGAATCTCAAGTTTCAATCGCTCCACAAGAGCGTCCTCAAATTTTGTACCTCTAAGGGCCTTTTGGTTCACGGGAATAGGGGTCTAGAATTGGAATTAGAACGAGTCATTCCAATTTCAACTGTTTGGTTGAGTGGAATTGCAACCCCATTCCCATTATTCCCCATTTGAGAGAATGGTCATTCCCTCTCCCTCCCTTGGGAACAAAATTTCAATCCAGCTGATTTCAATTCCCATTCTAGTTTCTGTCTGAACTAAACAGATAATGGAAATAGATCATTCCGATTCTGATTCCAATAGATTCCAATTCAGAATTGTGAGCCAAACGGACCCTAATTGTTTAACAGAAAATATGTATACCTCCAGAGTCCAATGTAAATTATAATTAGGATTTGTGTAGATAATAATTGTTTCTGAATTTGTCAATGGGAATAGAACATGGGGGGTTCAGTTTAAAAAAAAAATACTTGAAAATTTGTAACATCATTAGGTATTAGATAATAGTTATAGAACCTTTGACTTTTTTTTTGATAAATTAATAGAGCCTTTGATATCATGAACCAACTATTTTTGGATGGTTCTTCCTATCCATTTTGGTGTTAGTGTTACAAGTTGGAAGGTGATGCTCTATATAAACTTACATATTTAGTATATCGCTAACTCCTAGATTGATTTTTATTGAAACTCTGTAAATTATTGCCACTTAAATTCTATCCTAATTATATGCACATGACCAATCTACAGCAAAGACGACGGTGGATTCCACAGTAAGACTGTATTGGTAGGTGAATTGTTTATTATTGGTATGAGAAACAGATCCGTTCTGGAACAACCCATAGCTGGAAGTCTGAAACAATAAATTTCAGTTGAAAGAATATGAATAATTGAAAAAAATCCTGAAAATTAGACTATATAGGGCGGCCTCTGATGCGAAGGTCAGTGGCTCTGGATGCCATGGCTCTCAAGGCTTCCCTGGCCGAGGAAAAAGATCTCCTTGTCCTTGGTTGCGCATGATGAGCTCCCCCCCTAAGAGCCCCCATGAATTCTTCCCTCTGCAATCTAAAAGCCAATGCGGCATCTTCCTCTTGACTGGGGACTCGTCTTCCTCTTCTCACACTCTGCTCTTGACTGCTCACTCCTCTTCTTCTCCTCCTCCAACTTGAACCCAATGTCTCCTCTTCCTCCTCCTCTACCTGAGTAGACGTTTCTCTTCTTCTAACTACTGTTCCTATTCTTCTGGGAACTGGGATATTTCGACTTGCCTCTTCAGGGCTCTGGCGCTCAGCTTCATGGCTATTCAGGATTCCTGATGCCTTTCTTGCTTCAACTTCTTTTGGAAACAGAAGTTGTATCGTGTTCCAAAGAACTGTGTTCACTGTGCAAGATCGCCCATTGCTGCAAACTCAAAGGAAGATTACTTTTAAAGCCCATACAAACTCCTAATAAAAGAAAATTCTTCAAATCTCTAGTTTCTTAGGACCCTCATACCTAATTAGCTGTCTGCATTTTGGGCATCGCTTTCCACATTTATCGGCAGCAGATCGCAGGCATTTCTTGCAAAAGCTGCGAGACGAAAATCTCTATCAGGACGATAAATTCAAAAGAAAATACTCAAAAGGAGGGAATTAATCCACTGAAGAGCGAGAAAACCATGTACTGTTTGAATTTGTTTATTCATCTTTGTTTTCTTTTACCTGTGGCCACAAGGAGTGGTACTCGGTTCGAAGCAAATCTCAAGACAAATCTGTATGTCCAGATCACAAAATGAACTCAAATATATAGTTTGATCGGTACAAGTGGAAATCTACAACTAAAAACTGGGCAACCAATATTAAGCTTAGAAATTCCTTACCGCACAAGAGAGCTCTTCCCTTAGTTTATCCATGCAAGGGAAAGATGAACCCGAATGAGAAACATCAGAAGATTCCTCAGGTAAAGCAGCTTTGCCTTCTTTTCTCTGCTTCTCTTCGATAACTTTACTTTTTGAGTCCATTTTCTTCTCTGCAGCAGTCTCTTCATCATCAAGGTTAAAGACGGCAATAGGAATTGAAGTAGGACTCCGTCTCTGTGCTCTGCGTTTTCTGAGAAGATGAAAAGAACAACTAATGTATCAAAAGGTGAAAGGAAAATATCGCTTGAGAGAATTGGAAAAAAAAAAGGGAAGAAGAATTAGATTACCTTCTCGAACTGGTTTTTGGGGACTTAAACTGAAAATGGCCACGCTTCTTCTCTTTGGGTTCTCTTTCTGGCGTGTCTTCGACGATGAAACTGGCGATTAGGAGCGATTCTTCGTCCCAACCCGCCATTGCGGCCACGGATCGGAACCTGGGACTGATGATGCATTCTGTGTTTCTCCCGTCTTCGACAGCAACAGATTCTCTAGCAGTTTTTGAGTTTTGTGGGCTCTCATTTTCTTCGGGAATCATTTTTTCCTTTCGTTTGTGATTGATTGCAGGAGGAAACGCAACTTCCTCTTCTGCATATAAGCGTTTGCGGATCCGATGGGGATATGGAGAAAATTTTCTTGCAACGGTCGATTTTTCGAATTCCGTTTTGCTTCACGTCTCAAAATGCTGTAACGGCCGGTGCAGTAGAATGCAACGGGATGGAGCTGCTGCCAGCAAAATGCGTATTAACACAATGATATTATAAAATCCATCCGTACATCAGGAACATCTCCCGTACTTGTTAACATCCAAATATGGAGATGTTCCCTATGTGCGGATGGATACGGTGTTTGGCAGCAGTTCCCGATGTACGCTGCCCGCAAACGTGCTAACACACTGGAGTAACGCAATCCAACCCTACATAAAGAATATCTTCCGTATTGTTGTCATTCATGGGAGATGCTCCCAATTTACGGTTGGATGTTAGCAAGCTTTTGGCTGGCAGTAGAATTGTTAACTTTGGGTAATTTGTGGACAACATTACCCCTAAGCAAGCAACTATTTTCCAATCTTTGCCCAACAAAGAACCACGAGGTCCACGACCAACCCCATTCCAAACCACCCTTCTTTCTTCTCTTTCCCGCCGCTGCAATCTCCAGTGAATTCCAAGCTCTCGACAGTGATAGGTTGGTTATTCCTTCTCAAATTTATGGTGCCCAACTTTTTTATGCTTCTTCTCCCTAATTTCTCTGTTTTTTCTTCATCTATAGCTTCATAACGAGCATCAGATCAGAAAGGTGCATCCCTTCACTCTTTCTTTCCTCTCTCCATTAGCATACAAAATCATTTTCTGTTTCGATTTGGTAGTGTCTATACTACGATTGCTGTTGTAATCTTATTCAAACCTTCGAATGAGACCCCTGTGCTAGAAATATTTGAAGAAGGGCGAAGGAACGTCTGAGCCCTTTAATGATATCATATTGTCACTGGGTTCTACACCACCCACCCTCCGATGACGCAACAGTCAAACTATAGTATCAGGCTATCAGCGTTCTAGTCTTTTGGATTCCACAACATCAACATCCCAGTGTCAGTTACGAAGCATCGTTATCTGTTACAGACTGTGGCTTTACCAACCAGCCTTTATGAAAGCACCATTTCTAGATTTTCTTGTGGTCGGGATTGCAGGCTGGAGCTGAAGAGGACGGTTTGAGAGTCTTTCAATTAGTTTTAAAAAATTCAAATTAAAAATAAAAGAAAGACACAATGCCCTCCACTACTCTCGCACAAGCCAGGGTTGAGATACTATGGTTGTGCAGCAGATCCTGTCTTTTAAAGTCCCATAATTTCGCCGCCAAAACACAAGAACATAGCCCCACCAAAGTGAAACAGTGAATAATTGAATCCAAATATCCAATTCCTCTCCAGGCTTTTCTTGACTGAACTGTCAAAACCATTTGTAAGAATGAAGCCAGTCCAAAAGATGGATTTCAACCCTGCAAATGCAATCTGGGATCCTCAGAGCTTGGAAAAATTTTTATTTGCAATAGAAGATCCTGAGGTACTCTCTCTTCCTCTCTCTAATTGTTTCCTTTAGTTCCTTATTTTCTTGCCTGAAGATTTTGTCTTGAAGGTAGTGAGTTTTTCTTTGAAGGTTTTGGCTTTGTCTAATTCTAGTTTTTAACCAAATAGTGGGTTTTTACTCTTTCTGCATAAAGTCAAGGATAATGTGCTAAGATACGATGTCTGCGTCAATCATGTACTTAAACCACATGCTTGAATTGCATGGTTACTTCATTATCAAAAGTGGGATGCTAGATGAGAAAACAGAGAAATTTCAGGGCTGATGTGTCTTTGTGCCACATTGTTCTGTTCTAGCTTCTTTTTCAAAATGAAACATGAGATGCTAGATGAAATGAATTTTTCTTTGGGTAATTTCACTTTGAATGCTATTTGTTGAATGCATTAGACAACCTTCTAGGGACTGTAATTGATGCAGGGCTGATGTGGTCCAAGGCTGTGCTGATAACGAATTTGAGGGAAACTGAAAAATAAATGATCATGGTAAGGGGGTTAGGTCCAAGGTTTGGGGTTGAGAGGCTAAGAGTAGGCCCAGGGAAGGTGGATGAGGGGCGCTCTTGGGTTATATAGCTACATGGTGTGATAAGTAGGCTAGTTTAGTGCTGAAATTCCTGCAATATGCAGAAATTTCTATAGAGAGAAAACAAAGAAATTTCAATATCTCAAGATTGGAATGAAATTTCTTTAAACCATTTTAGACGAAAGGTTATGTAGGTGAATTAAAGTAGGGCATTGAATTTTGAGAGGTTTTAAGAAGGTTGGGCACAAAAAGAAGAGAGTTCTCAATAAACTTTTGAGAACTATGCTTTCTAGTGGGAATTTTTGAAAACTGAAACTGTTTTAATGGGATGGAGAAAAATTTAGATATAGGGGATGGCTGAATCAGATCTGTATTTCACCAAGATTTGGTAGGGAAGCTTTAGAGAGACAAGTTTTATTTCTCTAGTAGGTGTTTGGATGTCAAATTTGAAGGAAATAGAGAAGAAACTTACCCAGGATCAATTTAGTCCTTCAATTGATGTTGAATGATGGTTTCTGATTGCTTTTTCCCAATTATTTGATTGCTCTAAGTGGGTGAGCTCAAAACCTTGAGAGAGAAGAAAAGATAAGACGGGGGATTTGTACTTGAGGCTGAACTTCCCATGGATGGTTAATCAGGGTTGACCATCCCTCTCCTTTTTTGTACCTTAACTCATTTCTAATCAATAAAATTTTGGGGGGGGGGGGGGGGGAGAGTGATAATAATTCCTAGGGTTCCTAAAATCACTGTAGGGATGTGGATATCACTCATTACAAGTCACACAAGCAGAAAATAAACTCCAATATGCATTGCCCATGTTTTGCAACTTTGCACAAATATATAGACTGTCTAGGGTTAGCCAAACTACTTTAAATTTAAAAACTCAAAATTACAATTCTGCCACTAATAAATTAACTTAAAGAAAACTAAATAACTCTTGAACTACTTAACCAATGACTCTGAACATTTATACATGACTAAACTATGACTAGACAACTCACACTAACAGGTTGGAACACACATGAAATTAGCTAAAATGACTTTTTTTGGTAAACGATAGTTAAAATGATGAAAACACCCATACTGTCAAAATACAAAAAATACATAGAAATTCAAAAAATTCCAATCTGACCCTTAGCTTCTTGATAGCTGCTGAAGTTTGGCCATATGACTATCGGTGGAAAAAACTAAATTGCATTCATACAACTGCCATTTTATGGTGTCAGTCAGATTGTTGTTTCATCTCATCCTTGTAGTGTGTCCACTGTAAACCTCTTTGGAGATTCTAGTACATTATTATTCTTTTGATCTGTAATTATACCAAAGATATTTTATTGATAAAAAATAAAGAGTACTAGCCAAGAAATATAAGAAATAATGAACCTACTATTTCTTTTCTTAATGAAGCAACTTGCATGCTTAGTTTTAGGAGCAACTGAACCCCTAATGTGTTCACATTTCACAGAGATTTCGGGCTTCTCATAAAGTTCAGCCTCTTTTCTATGTTTTTCCTCCATATTATTTTCACTTTATTTAATGCTATTCACGTCCAAGAGGGCCAATGACACCCAGTAACTGAGAAGTCATTTGGCGTCCTCCATATATGGAAGCATGAGACCAAAGTTGTGTAACTGCAAGCTCTCTGTGGTAAGGGCCGTGGACCTCATGTGCACCCTGGTCTGACCCCCCCCCCCCCCCAAAAAAAAAAAAAAAAAAAAAAAAGAAAGAAAGAAAGGAAAAGAAAATGTATTTGGGAGGCCAGACTAATTGCATTTGCTATTATCTTGGGATAAAAGTATTAGGAGAGTATTTGGGAAGAAAGGAACTCAAGGGTATTCTTAACCAACTGATGGTGGCTCAGTTGGTAGGTTCTCTGACTCATTGGAGTAGAGACCTGGAATCAAATCCTGCTGCCACTAGGGTTGAGGGGGTTAAGGGAGGGGGGTGGGCCAACTACCCCCCACCCCAAAGAGAGGCTATTATTGAGACTATCATTGTTAGGGTGGTTCAGTGGGTTAAATCCTTGGAGTCGTTTGCTGATTTTATAGTGGGTGATATTGTGAGAAATCGGAGGGAAGTGGCTTGTTCAGATCAACATAAGACTATTACTAGTCCCGTTTGGTTCCCACCTCCCCAGGGTTTAACTAAGCTAAATTTTGATGGGAAAGCACAAGCAATCCGAGTCCTTCAGGCATTGGTGTTGTTTTCGAGAATGAGGAGGGCAATATTGTTTGTCTATTTCCAGGGCCAATATTCTTTGAGGGATTAGGTTTTGGCTATGATGGAAGGGGTGCAAAGAGCTAAGGATATGCTCATCAGTAAGTTGGTTATAGGAGTTCAAAGCTGGTGGTGGATTGGCTACGAAAGGAAGAAGTCAAGCTGTGGAAATAAAACGGTGAAAGAAAGAAGTTTAAATGGCTGACATGAGGCATGGATGCGAGAGTACTAGGGGTGCTCACGGTTCGGTTAGCCGAACCGTGGGGTGATTTTTTGGACCGAACCGATTTGTTCAGTTTTTACATTTAACCGAACCGATGCAATCGGTTAATTGGCCGACCGGTTAACTGCGGTTTGGTTTTTCGGTTTTTTTTTAATTCTTTCAAAATAAAAAAAGGGAACTATGAGACGGGGAGAGTGGGAGTCTAAGAGAGTGTCGTCGAAGCAAGAGGGATCACCTCCGACGTCGAAGCGCCGAAGGCCATCGGCGTCAGTTCGTTGGGGAAGAATGAAGAGAACTGGGAGAGTGAGAGTCTGAGTGAGCGAGAGTCCGAAAGGTAGAGAGCTTAGAGAGAGAGGGAAAAGTCTCAGCCTGTTGTGGAAGCAGGAAGGATTGCCAGTGTCGCCGATTCGCCGAAGCAAGAGGGATCACCTAAGGCCGTCGATGATTCGATTGGAGGGCGGAGCGCCGAAGGCCGTTGCCCATCGGTCCATTGGGGAAGAACTGGGACTGGGAGAGTGGGAGTCTGAGAGAGACAGAGAGTGAGAGTCCGGGAGAGGTAGCTCAGAGAGAGAGAGAGGGAAAGAAAGGGAAAAGCCAAAAAAAGTCTGGCTGTTTGGCTTTGCCAGCTTGCCATTGCCAGACTAGCGAACTGAAAAGTCTCAGTTTGCTGTTCGGCATTTATTAGATTTTCAAAAACAAAATAAAATATAATATAAATAAAATATATATTTATATATATAATACTATATAAATATATATTATTGTATATATATATTGGTCGGTTCGGTTAACCGCCGGTTTTTTTAAATGGTTAACTGAAACCGAACCGACCGGTTCGGTTAACTGATTTTTCGGTTCGGTTTTTTGGTTTTTTTTCTCACCCCTAGAGAGTGCATTGGGTTAAAAGAACTGCTAATTGGTTTTTCAGTTCTTTGGCAAAACAAGGAATGGGGAGAAATCAGTTGTTCTGGGCTCAATTGTAATGGCTTTTTAATCTTTGGGGAGAGTTAAGAGATTTTACCTTCCTCCTTTGTAATTTATTTTTTGTCATTAATGAAATTTGAAGTTATTGATAAAAAAGAAGAGTAGGAGATTGCTTTAACTAATTTTTTAGCCTACTGATGAAACAATTAGCAAAATGTTAATTGAGTCCATTCCATTATTTTGTTGGTCAATCGTTCAAGGCCTTCTTTCTGAAAAGGAATTTGAAGTCCTTCAAATTTAGCCTGATTACCCATGACTGTGGTGTAGTCCTCAAATTGATGTTCCCCAAACTATACACATATTGCCTCTATGACCTTCTGCTGTAATAGAGTTTTTTTTTTTTTTTTTGATGGATGAAGATAATTTTATTAATCCAGAAAATTAAGGCAATACAGGAAACCCATGAAGAGGCACGAGTTGTTACCTCTTCTAACAGAGTATTACATCAAGTTAAAAACAGAGTATTACAGAGCAGCCCAAAATAAATGTTCCCTTGAAGCCCCTTACTTAGCTAACCCATCCGCTAAGGTATTTGCTGATCTTCCCACCCAAAGGGAGGTAACTGTCATGTTTCTTGTGAGCCAGTTGACTTTCCTCAATAAATCTCTGTGTCGCCACATAGCTGAAGCTGGATCTGTCAGCCATCCCACAACAATTTTGGAGTCTCCTTCAACTACCAAATGCTGTAATGGAGTTCCATTAAACTTCTTGATCCATTTTTATCACTATATCACTTCCCCTTCTTAAGTGAAATGAAGTCATCACCTTAAAAAAGAAAAAATTGCTTGACATGATATATCCAACTTCCAGTGTCAGTCCCATCAAGATGATGAAATTCACTAATTCACATATCATATGCAGATTGTCCCACCATGGTATGCTTATCAATATGATGAATTCCCCATAAACTTGACTGTTCATCGGTTGGGTTGACTGATGAAACCTCTCCACAAACATTAAATACAATTTATGTTTATTTATCATTACTTATTTTTAATTGCTACCATAATGTTGCGAAGACAATTCCGGAGTTTTTGCCATGCTCATGGCTTCTTCTGTATTTTCAACCTCATTAGAGGGATCATAATGATTTATGCAGAGATCTTTAGAAAGCTTCTTGACTTCAGATTCTATATTCTTAACTACTTTTAACGATTGTACTCCATGCCTCCATCCACCATGGCTCAGAAGAAATGGGTTATGAAACCAGATTATAGGATTTAAATTTTATTAAAAGCAAATTATTTGAAAGAGGAAAGATGTTCCCAGTCCCACTATGGGAGGGAGGTCCTACCAAAGAGACAGAACACAAAGATTTTCTTCTTTCTACCCCCCCCCCCCCGACCACACTATGTCTCTTATATTATTTCCCTCCAATTCCTTCCTAGCAAGCTAAGTTAATTGCTAGCATGTCTTCCCCAACAATAACATTGATTTTCCACCTACCATGCAATATTAACACTGCCAATACATATTTTCTCAAATTAGCCTCACATCAGAGAGCCCGTTTGAACAGGAACATGAAATAAAATGGTTCAACAGAAAATTGTTGAGCAAAGACACATTTATAACTAAAAAAAGGCCTAACCTTCAGAATAGTTATTTCTTTGCATAAAAAAAAAAAAGAATAGCTATTTCTTGCGAATGGGAAAAATTGTTAAGTGCAATGCCAAGGTCATTTAAAATGCATCAATTCCCAGATTATGGTTGCTTCAAAGAATACTGTTAATTTCGTTGAATTTTTTTTGGCTTTCATCTTTCTTTTTGATTCTAGCAGTAAGGTTCTAGATATTTGAGGCTTTGGGATAAAAACACAGTCCTTTCTTATAGTCATGCCTTTTTATCCATAATATTTGGAAGTTCCATTTGGTGACAATTGGTCTGCATAAAGACTTGTTATATATTTTCTCATTCAGATAATCTTAACTTCTCAGGTTTTAAAGGCACCACTTCTAAAAAGTTTATATTGCCTTCTCGTCTACTTATTTTCAAATTCATCATTGCATTGCTCTAATTTTGAGGCTTTAAAAGACTCAAATGTTGGAAGTCATCAGTTTGATTTGAAAGTAACATTTGCTGTTATCTGTAAGCTCTCCAACTTCCTCTTCAAAGAACTCCAAAGGAGGTTTGAACAGTTGTTATCTGGTTTGCTCGATGTATCTGTAAATACAGCAACAGGCCAAGATAAGGTTTTGAACCACCCAGAAGATCTAACTATGCTCTTAAGATGCTGTCTAATTATCATGCTCTTGCTAGTGTTTGACCAAAGTTTTCTTATGGAAAAATGCCAAATTCTCCTTGTGGTACTTCGGAAATTATGCTCTCCAGATCTGCTGTTACATGTTTCCTGTCATATGAAAGGAAATGAGAAAAGTACCATTAGCTTAAAGAGATCAGTTTCACATGAGCGCATTTATGCCAGTGATAATAGTATTATCTCTGTTGTTGAGGAATTAGATGCTTCAATGTCTTTTTCTGAGCAGATTGGCATGCCCATTCCTATTCTTTGCTCGATGCTTGAGGTAGTATTGTTGATTCCATCTTTATTCATTTATTTAACTATTACTTCTGTCAAGCATGTGTTTAATTTATGAATCCCTGATCTCTAACACACACACACATACACAAAGATACTAATTGAGTAGAGGATTTAAATATACAAACACATCATATTTCTTGATTAAGGACATCATATCAAGAATCCTTCTGTATTTCAGACAATTGCATGTTTAGGGCCAACCTAGGAGATCTTATTGTTTTAATAGATCATTTACCACTTTTCTCACTTTAGAGTATTGGTGTATTGGATGTTAGGCCTTCCCTATTTGGTTGTATTGTCCTTAATGGTCAAAGAAAGGCTTCACATTTGTACATGTGCTCTTTTGTTTTTTTTTTTGTTTTTTTGTTCCTTTTCAACATTCAAGTCCTTTTCAGGGGCCACTTTGTGCTAAGAAATGGTAAAATCTTGGGCTGAGTTGGCTGACAAGTGTGAGAATGCGGGTTCAAGTCTGAGAATGGCCACTTTGTGCTAAGAAAGGGTGGAGGTTAGGTCTGCATCCAGTCCACCCCTCCCAAGACCTGGGGTATCTGGGACCATCATTGGGTAATGGCCTTCTAAGTATTGGTCCTTTTCAACGATAAATTAATCAATGCAAAATTTTCTTTATAAATAATGTCAATCATAAAAATATGAGCTTTAATTTATAGGAAATTAGGTGCCTTAAGCCAAACTGGATCCTGAGAAAGTTTTACATTGACATGGCAATAATCAGTGTAATTCTTTTAGAGCTCAGGTGCCTCATTTAATTTTCTTTATTAATTATTTACTAAAGGAACTTTTGTTTAAATTTTTTTCCATTAAACCTTTTTGGAAACATTTATCTCCAGGTCTTTGCAGATGAGCTTTTGGTGCATAGACGTTTGAGACAATATTTTATAGTCATGGATTCTGTTTCTTGCACGAGTGAGAAACTGTTTATCTGTGATAGTAGTCATGGTGATAGTGACGATGTGTTGGAGGTGATCTCTGCTCATTTTCTTCTTTCAGTCTCTGGCATGCAACCATTTAACAAGTTCTTGAACACATTATTCTGGCTGGATGACAAGGAACTCAGATTTCCGGAACTGAGTTTGACAGCGGCTATGGTATTGCTTGGAACTCCCACAATCTTTTCTGCACCACAAGTGTTCCAAGCACATCTCATTTCCTTGATTGCTAGAGCATTTGGCATTATCATTGTTCCAGAGGAGACAAGATTAAATCCCAGAGCTAAGAATTGCTATATCTCAGCATTTGAGCATTCAGTCATCTTGTACAATAGACATATTTCTAGTTTAGAATTCGGCAGCCATCATTTTGGAAGTAATATTAGATCGGTTGACAAACCATGTACACTGGAAGGAGGGTGTCACCCATCTTTTCAATCTTATGTTCGACCAATCACATATAACAGAATTATTCATGAAATTCCCAAATCAACTTTCTCTTGGCATTTAGGTGTTCATGATTCTCACTCCAAAATGACATCTAGCATGATGAGTGCCTCTGTTGCATACATGGCAGAGAACCTGTGCATTCTTGACAATACATGCAAAGATGAGGCTTTCTCAATTTTAAACTGCATCATATCAAGGATTCTTTCAAGTGAAATTGTATTTAACGTATTGAATAAAAATGTAGATGGAAGTTCAGAAAAAATGTGTCTTCTTGCATCTATTCTAAAGTTAATGAGCAGCTCATTGCTGCAAATTGTTTGGTATCTGAAGCAAAATGGAAATTTAGGTTGTCTAAAAACATTGAAAGATTACCCTTCATGTAGAGAATATGATTTTATAGTGGGTAAAGTTGGTTGCTTTCAACAGTACAGTGTCAGTCAGCCAATCCAACATGTCTTTTCTGATGCAAGGGGAGCAGACCCAGGAAGACATAAGGAGTCAATGGCGATGCTCATGCACATGGCAGAGTTGCTGTTATTTAGTTTTAGTACTGGACTAGAATTCTTGTGGAAGAGTTGCATATTCATGATGATGGCAATTATGAATCTAATAATTTTTGAAGAGGGTAATCTGGATGCATTGAGGCCATTGCTTGGCTTTGAAAAGGAATCTGCTCAGCCTTCTCTTGATAAATCTCCAAAGGTGACTCTTCCTGTTCTCTCGTGAACTTGCTGGTTTGGTTATATAACTTATACTATTAGTCAATTTGTTCCATTTTATTCATACTTTGCTTCTAAAACTGATGGCTAATAATGCAGGTTCTAATAGAAAGAAGTTCTAGCGCCCTAGTTGCATGGAAATTTCAAAAAATTAAGACGATGCGCTTGAGGTATGCAATATCAACAAGTTTCTTATTCAAGAATGGGAGATGACATTGACTTCAACTGTGTAAGTTGATCTGTAACAGCAAGGAGATGTTATCAGATCTGTTCTGAACCAGGCTTATCAAAATTTGGAAGGTTAAGGGGTGGATTACCGGGATGAAACTTACAACAAAAATACTTTGATTAAAACCTAAATGACATAGGAGTATTCAGATACTGACAATTAGGACAAAACTCATACACCAAATATAACTTACAATTGAAAATAGACAAATATAACTAAAAATAACAAGAATTTCTGTAACATCATTGGCTCTCAAAATTAAGACATTTTAAGTGACAAGTAGGTCGGTTGCTTGATTAGGATCATCTAACCTAGTTGGTGTTTTGCATTGGAATCTCCTGATAGGATGTTGTAAAGATTTGTCAGTCACTACTCTTCATGTTCTCCATGCTCACAGCGATATTAAATTGAACTAGCAGATGATGCTGGAGAACATGGGTGAAAATGAGAATTCGTTTTTTTTTTTTTTTTTCTGTCACCATCCTTTTGTATTTACACTGGACTCTTCTTATTTAATAGGGAAGTCCCACTAAATGGCAAGCTACTAAAATCATCCGTCTTTAGACTTTGATCCTTCTCAATTATTTTTCCCTCTCTGCAGATCAAAGACTCTCACAAGATACAATGCAGAAGCACAAGATGTCCAATCTGAAACTTTGGAAAATACACTGGTCCTTGGGGATGTGGAGTCTCAGTGTGTTCTTGGCATGGAAGAAGAAGATACCTGCAATGGTTCAAATTTTATCAAAATCATACGAGGTGGCCATCCAACATCTGATTTTGATGATTTGGTTGATTTCATTGAGTGCAAACAAGGAAAAGATTATTCCAAGTGGTTGAAGGATCGAGAAAGGTATCGGAAGTGGAAATGTGAGAAAGTGGCAGCTGCAAGGCACAAAAGAAAGAAAACATTGCAGAAGTTTCTGACTGGAAAATGAATACAGAATATTGTTCTGTACTTCTTTTTGCAGATTTCTATTTGTATAGAAAACTTGTGTAGTGACCAATCATGTATGAGATAATCAAAACTTCTCAGAAAACCCCATTTTTCTTTGTTGTTGTATCTTTAAGACCCAGATTCTAATCAGATTCTGTTGACAACATACGTAGGGTTGCAGGTTTTTAACCGATTTAGAGTGTTTACATACATGCCCTTTTGTCTGAATACTAAAAATAACCAATGGATGTTGCTCATACACAACTTCATTTTTACTGTCATTCTGGGTCTGGGCCCTGGTGGCCTGGTGGGTTACTACATCCAACTAAATAGACTCCTTAATTTGGATGACTGTCATTGCTACTTAGTACTTACTAGTGGAAGAGTCTTCCCCACTCACATTGTCTGATATCTCTTTGTTAACAGATTAAACGGTAAAGCTCAGCATGAGAGTGGGCTTAGCTTTGGACTTCGATTGTACTGGCTCTTGGGCCCATATTAATTGTAACCTTTTTTTATGGGCGAGGCCCAAGCCTAATCAGAGGTCATAGGATAGCCTTGATGACACAAAGTTGGCCCAGTTCTCGCTTTATGCTCCATCCTTATAAGTGATGTCGCCGGGAAGAAGAAGATGAGGGAGATCAGAAGAGGAGGAAAGCGGTAGAAGAGCGGTGGCAGGATGAGTAATAAGAGAGTAATGTCAAGGGAGAAAAATAGAGACAAGGACGAGGTGGAGGAGCTGCTCCGAGCGGCGGAGGAGGAGATGCTTCTTAAACTCAGCGTCAACTCTCACATGGCACGTGCCTCCTCCTCTCCTCTCGACCGAGATCTCGCCCATCGATTCGAGGCCCTCAAAAAGCCCTCTGCGCCTCCCGGAATTACGAAGGTACGACTGCCGCCGAAGCAGCCGATCGTGAAAACCAAAGAGGACGACGAATTAAATAGGATTCTCGGAGCCGATCTCTCCGCTAGATTTGGCGCTCTCAAGGGTTCCTCTTCTTCTGTTACAGAATCTCAAATGAGTTCGGTGAGATCCGACGGTGGTGATGGCGTTGATGACAAGGAAGACGACGAGGACGAGGATGGGGCTTCTAAGAGTGAGGTAGAGAAACTGATACAGTGGGCCATGGACGCAGCTCGTCTCGATCCGTCTCGGTCCGATGACGATGAGGAGGAAGAAGAAGAGGAAGATGACAACGACGAAGATAAAAGGGGGAAACAGCAGAGGAAGAAATAGATGTTCCCCTAAGATGCCTCAGACGTGATAAAAACCGTTCAGTTTTGAGTGTCATCAATGGCTGGTCGATTTCAGAACTTCATCGACCTGGGGTTTTCGTTATAGCTGGAACTTGGTTGTAATTGTAATTTGAAGAACCAGTCTACAGGTTTTGGGGTTGCGACATGGCAATCATACATGATGATTGATGATCCGCCATCAATCCAATTTGATCGAATTGAATTAAACTAATTTGGTTTGGTTCGGTTCGTCAAGTGCTCGATTCAAGTCCCAAATCACAACCTGCCCTGAGGCTCGGCGTGACTCAGGCTGGTTCTGATTGGGCGTCTCTCCAGATTCCTATATTGAGTTCATGTTGTTCCCCCATCTATTATTTATCTGACTCTAGGGCTTGATTTCATTCACCTCTAAGGCTTAACTACTAGTTCCTGGAAGAAACAGGCTTCTGAAGTCCGTTTCCAGTGGCATCTTTATTCTTTTAGTGGTGTCTATCTCTCTACTGATTTCCCTGTAACGCTTAGTTTTGTTGATTTAGCAATTTTGTCGCTCATACTGTTCTTGAATTAGCAATCAATCGGTTCCCTGCTCAATTGATTAATAATGTTACGCCTAGCAAGTTCAAAGCTGCCTGATTTGTCTACTTATTTCTTCGGGGTAAATTACAAAGACCCCTCGTACTATGGGGTCTCTAACAAAGACCCTCTGTACATTATTTTGCGACAAAGATCACCCCGTACTATGACCGTGAGACAAAGACCCTCTTCCGTTAGCTTTCCGTCCAAAAAAGCCATTACAATATTTTTAATCCCTATACTACTCTCCTAACACTGTTCATCTTCTTCAATCTTCCGATATTTTCCTTTCGTTCCTTCACATTTCTCTCTCTCCCTCTCTCTCCTCTCTCTCCCCAGACCTCTCTTCTTGCCCTTTCCCTTAACAATGTCGGGATTGAACCCATTTAATTCAATCCCGATCTCTCTCTCCATTGAGCTGGGGACGATGTTACGATGCCTTGCGGAACCTCTAGAAACCAATAAACACAATACATCTCTTCATTGCTTCTCTTCTGTGAAACCATTTACAGAAGATATGCAGTTTTGGTGTATGCAAGGTTCAAAATTTCGTCACGTATCGATCAATACGTATCGTTCCGATAGGGATTCGACATGGTATAGAATACCAAATTAAATGTCTCATATCTATTCGTCGTATCGAACGTGTATCGTAAGTGTATCATAACAGTATTGGCCTGTATTGACGTGGCGTATCAGTTGATACAGTATGAATTTACTGTAGACAAAACGCGAATAAAAACCCTTTCGAAAGAGGGCTTCGAAACCCACTTCAAAAGCCCTCTTTCTTCCCCAAACTCTCCAAAAACATTCATTCCATTACTAGAGACTCAGATCTACTGAAAATCCGCCAACAAGTTTGCAAGATCCAACAACTTTTTCAATGTTGTTAAAAAAACAACGAAAATAGGTATGTTTTCTCTTTTTTTTTTTCTGTTGTTGTTTCAGCCAATCTTTTTGTGTTTTTTTTTTCACTTGGATGCTTGAAAACATATTTATTTGTGTTGATACACTATTTTTGTGCAAAAAAGCCCATGTATTTTGATGCTACATGTAGATCTTTGTCAATATTTGAAGAAATTCCAGAATAGTGAAAAATCTGAAAAATAAAATAAAAAATTTAGTTTTTCTTGTGATCTACCTCTAGAAATTGACTATGTTGTAGATCTATGGATGATCTACCATGTCCATAGATCAATTGAATTTTTTCTAAATAATTGATTTTTTTTAATTTTTATTCTAGCTTTTGGAATATTGATCTAAGATTGATCTATCATATGAAAAATTTAGTTTGTTTTTTTTTTTATTTTTAGATATTTATTTATCTCTAATTTTTTGCTATGATCTAAATTTTAATAATAAATATTTACAAATGACAATAAATATATGGATGATTTGTTATGCATAAATCCATTCAATTTTTCTGTTACATAATATATATTTAATTTTTCAAATTTTAATTTAATTTTTAGAATAAAATGTGCAAAATAATTATTTGAATAAAAATAAATAATTATTTATTTTTTGAATGAAACATGCAAAATAATTATTTGATGTATTATGTGCATAAATCCATTCAAATTTTCTATTACATATACAATTTTTCATATTTTAATTTAACTTTTAGAATAAAAATGCAAAATAATTATTTAGTTTTTGAATGAAACATGCAATATAATTATTAATTTTAGAATAAAAATAATAGATGTCGATGAAGCCATTTAGAAAAAATATTTGTTCAATTTTTAGAAATTAGAATAAAACATGCAAAATAGTTATTTGAATAAAGATAAATAATTATTTAAAAGATAATAAGATATAGAAAAGTGTTTGATTAAATAATTACAAATTTTACATAATTATTTGATTCAATAATTGTTAATTGTTTAATTAGATTAGATAACATTTGTTTACTAACACATTAATACTTAAAACTGGATAATTTATATAGTAATTGAATTTTTATGTGATTCATGGTGGATATTTGTGATTAAATACATATATATGATGGATAATTGGTTATTTGATAATTAATGGTCGTTATTTTTAAATTATATAATTTATTTAATTACTTGTTAGATACTTAGATTTATGATTAATTGTTGTTTCTAAGTTCTAATTAATTTTTGTGCATATGCATTATAATAGTGTAACACTGTGAATCTGTGAGACCGTGATACACTGATACTTGGGAGTTGGGATTTAGAATTTAGAATTTGACCATTTAACCCTTCAACATGGCACCCAAAAAAAGGAAGAAGAAGATATTTGTTGGAAATATGGCACTAGGGTTGATGGAAACCAACTCCATACAAAATGCAACTTTTGTGGGCAAGTTATGAAAGGTGGTGGTGTGACCCGTTTGAAACATCACTTAGTAAGAGGATAACCTAATGTTGTTAGTTGCCCTAAATGCCCATAATAAATTTCTAAAGCGATGCAGAAACATCTCAAAGAACAAGAAATGTTGAGAAATCAACGAGAAAATGATAAAAAAAATGATTAGAAGAACATTGGAGCCTAGAGATGATGATGAAAGAGAGGAGGACATAGAATCAATACCTCAATATTTTAACATCGATGATGATGATGATGATGATGCAGAGCAAAGAACATATAACATGGGAAGACATGCATCATGAGCTACACAATGGGAAGAGGAGCAACTACAACGATTTCAAAGAAGTAGGTTTGTATTTGTAGATTAAGAGTATTAGGGAGTGGTGGTTCATCACAAGTATCATGGTCAAGGAGTAAAAGTAAATTGTTTTGTACACCGATTATGAAAGGAGCGTTTTCAAAGCTAAATCCTTTTAAAAAATCTTCATCAAGTAGGGACACTCTTAATATTGAAGAGATTGATAGATATTTATTCAGGGCCCACAAGATTTGCCACTCATTACATTGCACTACAAAGTCTTATTTCTCAAAAAGCAGCATTGAGAGTCATGATTGATTCAGATGATTGGAGATCGTTGCAACAAAGTAAAACATCAATTGGGTAAGAAGTTGAGAAAATAATCAGTGATTTCAATTTTTGGAGAATGGCTTCTCTATATTGTAATATGATTGAGTCCATCGTTAAAGTGTTTCATATAGTTTATGGTGAAAATGGGCAACAATGGGAATTATATATGAAGCAATGCGAAGAGTTGTTTTAGAAATCAAAAAAGCTGGCCCAAATTCCCATAAAAAGATCATAAACATCATAGAGAAGAGATAGGATTCACAATTCGTCCATCATATTCACAAAGCAGGTATGTTCTTTTTTAAATTTATATTATTTACATTCAATCATTTATGTTGATTAAATATCTAAAATAATCATTAACATTATTATATTTTTTTTAATTTTAGCATATTATTTGAATCCATCATTTCAATATTCTATGGATCTCAGTGTTGAAGATTTATTAAGTTCTTTGAAAAAGGTGGTTGCAAAGTTGGAGCCTAATGAAGATAATGCTACCATTGCAATCCGAGAGGTAAGTGTAATTTTTTACATAATTATTAGTTATTATTTGTTTATTTATTGTTCATTAGTTTTTAGAAATTTATAAATTATACAATATGTTTTGATGATGATTTGATCATATAATATTAATACTTGTTATTTCAAATAACAATAAGGTCAAATTATTCCATGAGGCATTGGGAGGATTTGGAGATAGTTTGGCACAGAGAGCAAGAGATAAAACTAACCCAGGTATGATGAAGTTTTAAATTTCTAATATATTTTAGAATTATTAATATTTTATTAAGTAATTTTTTATTGTAATGATATATGATACTAAAATATTTTTATTTTATATTTTTCAACTGAATAGTAGTTAATGTAAAGTCAAGATGTCCTACATCTTCGAAAGATTGCAATAAAGGTACTATCACAAACTGCTTCATCTAGTGGTTGTGAACGCAATTGGAGTCCATCCAAAATAGAGGAACCGTCTATCCTATGAGACTCTTGAAAAGTTGGTATATGTGCATTAGAATATGAGGCTAAGGGTTAGACAACTTACTAGAGATAGGAGGCATGATGAAGTTATTTTGACCCAATTAACCTTGATGACATATATGATGAAGATGATCTAGTATTGTCATGGTTAGCTGAGAAAGAAGATACATCAAGGGTGTTAGATGAGTCAGGTGATCCACCAAGACTTGATGCCTTTATTGCTAGTCAAATGGGGGTAAATGTTGATCAGTGGGTCAGAGAACAAGAGAAACAAAAAAAAAATATCACTGGTGGTGGTGGTGGTGGTGGTGGTGGTGGTGGTGGTGGTGATGGTGGTGATGATGATGGTGCCGGTAATGGAGATGGTAACACTGGAAATAATCAATGTGCTAATTCTAGAGGTGGTCAACATCAAGGTGATCAAAGTGGTGAATATTTTAAATATATTCCACCAATATATGACTCAATGCCTTTTAGTGAAGAACAAAACTGTCATAAGCGTAGGGATTATTCACAGTTAATAGACAATTATGGTTATGAAAGACAAAATGAGTGAAGTCAAGCCTATGATAACCCTAGGAATGAAATGATGCAAGGCATGGATAGCATGAATTTGAAATCATCTCTAGATTATGATATGGCATGGGCCACATGGCTACTGCTCAATCTGCTCCTAGATCTAGTTTATCTGCTATGAACTCATGGCTTTTTGGTGGAAGATATGATGATAGGCAAACTGATGATTCATCTTCATACAACACACAAAGTACACAACAATGTGATTCACATGATTATGGATCAAGTTATTAGTCTCAAACTCATTATCAGTAATGCACTTGGGAGCAATATGAATATTTTAGACAAGCATATGTGAATTCTTACTCCACTAGTATGACTTGGAATGAATATTATTGTTACGTCAGAGATCAGTTTAATGTTGATATAAGTAACTTTCAACCTGCACGTAACTCCTTATGGTACTAATGGTCGTCATTTCTGATTCTAGGTACAATAATAAATTGCCAACTCATGACAATTTTTATAATTTTTTATGATTTTTGTTTATTTATTAAGTATCTAATTTTAATAATATTTTATTTAGGTTGAGAATAAACTCCATCACTTTGTTACCATTCACCAATTTAATGAAAGCATGAATATAATGAAAGTGATCAAGGTATGTTTTAACTTCTAACTTCATCATATTGGGATTCACATGTTCAATTTGTAAATTATAATAGATTGAAAATTTGAAGTTGGAACTGAATTAAGTACTTTATTAGATAGTATGTTTTGTTCTCATATATTGATTATAATGTGTTTTTTCATAAAAACCACTAAAACATGTTATTTTTATGCATAATAGCCCATTTATGTCTTATATTTAATGATATTGATGTTTATTTATTATTTATTGAAGTATTTATAGCATTTCCATGTGTTTCCATGCGTATCTTAATTTTTCGTCCGTATCCATGCGTATCCAAGGTGTATCCCGATACATCTCTTAAGTTTGCCTTTCTGATATGTATTCCGTTTCTGATACTTTGAACCTTGGGCGTATGTAGTCCACGAGTCCAACCATGACATGGCGCTGGCTCCAGCTTGTGGACTCAGTTGATCGCTGTAGCCTCAGCTGATCATTGAATTCCCCCATATTGAATCGTTGAGAGAAAGATTTTCCAAGTTTGTTGATTGTAGCCTCAACTAATCGCTGAATTGCTAGAACAATTGCTGATTGTTCTCCATTTTTCTCCTTTGATGATTCAAAGATATTTGAGCAAAGAGGGAGAGGGAGAGGGAGTCCTAAGATGGAGATAAATAGAAAAAAGAAGAAAAGAGGAACCAAGTAAACGAGGTCGATAGAAGAAGTGAGGATATATAGGAAAGGATTAGAGGATTGAGATGGGAAGGGGAGAGAAATTCCAAGGAAGGGTAGAATGAGAGGGGGGAGGGAGGAAATAAGTTTGTTCCGTGTAGATTTGTCAAATCAGAGAAACAAAAGCTTAGAAACGAAATCTACATAGTCTACAGGTTTAGTAGTTAGTAAGTAGTTGATGGGCATGAGATGCCAAAACAGTGTATCTTCTGTAAATGGTTTTGGTAGTTAGTAAGTAGTCCACGAGTCCAACCACGATGAACACGTTTAGGTCGGGACATGACGCCGCCTCCGGCTCCACAAGTGTTGTAGGGGAGGTGGCTCCAACTCCGGCTCTGCAAGTGTTGCAGGAGGAGTCTCTGGCTCCGTTTTGGGAGAATTGGGAGAGAGAAAGAATGAGAGAGGATGGTGAGGGAAGGGAAAAGAAGAGAAGAAAGGGAAAACAATAGGTTAAAAAGGTTTTAAGAGAAAAATGACAAAAAAATAGAAAAAGTTTAGTGGGGTATTTTGGTAATTTAACGCATTCCGTCATCTAACTTAACAGTCAAGGGGGGTCTTTGTCTCATGGTCATAGTACAGGGGGTATTTGTTGCAAAACTAAGTACAGGGGGTCTTTACCACAGACCCCATAATACAGGGGTCTTTGTAATTTACCCTTTTTTTTTAATATTTTCAATTTCTGTCAGATTATTTGAGCCTGTTCTCCTCCAATCATCTAAGCCTATTTATCCAATTTTCAGCTTCCTGGTAGGACATGCCTAGCACAAGGTTTCACTGGTCTAGAACAAAAGCCCAGGTTCAACTTTAGTGTCAACGTAGAGTCTGGGCTGTGTTTGGGCCCATCCTTAGCATTATTCATATGCTCATACATTCCATACCTATGATGTTTGAATGGTGCAAACCGGATTGACTGGAGAGAAACAAGGGGAAGGATTTCAGTTTTACCAACTCATCTTTCTTTTAGGGAGATAGGATCAACCATCTTTGCTTTGGGAATTAGGATCAATGACATTTGTCTTTTTGTCATTAGTTTACAATTTTATATATTTTCTTAACATGTGTTATTAATAGGAGGGGGGGGGGGGGCAAATTACTCAGGCCTGACCCCTACTTTAATTTTGGACTGGACTTAGCTCATTAAAAACTAAGCTTGGCCCAGGGTCTACCCCTTTTGTGTTGCTAAATAATCTTCATAATGTTGTATCAATATGTTTATGAATATTACATTCAAATATATGAAAAATATTTAAAAACCTTTTTTTAAAATATCATATATATATATATGTAGGCGCACATGGCAGGCCCCAGATTGTGCCACATGGCATCGGCCGGATGAAGTTCTGGCCATCTATCCCTAATTGCCTCCAACCACTCTATGGTAAGGTCAGTTATAAAAGGGGAAACCCAACTCAAGGTAAATCCATCTTACTCACTCTTGCTCTCTTTTATTCTTACTCTCAAGAGATCTCGTCTGAGCTCTTAAAGATTAAGTTATAAGCCCTCGTCCCAAGTCTGGTCCGACCCCTCATTAGCACCTGACTAACTTGACCGTCAAAATCTCCGCCCCTGAAATAACACCCAAGGCCTCTAACATGTACTCTTCTCCTACTCACAAATTGGACCCATCGGCTTCGAATATCAATTAAATTACCTTGTTGCTCTTAACCCCATCTTGATATATATATAAGATTGAGGTGAATGGGAATTCCATGAATAAAGGCTATGGACAGGAATAGGATTCCTTTCGAGCCCTGGCCATATGAAAGAATCGTAAGATTTGTAGGTTGTTTAGGGAAATTGATCGGTAATTAAACCAAAAAAAACATTCTAGCAGATATGCGTAGGCGTTTGCAGGCATGGGGACCCACTTGGGAAAGCTTGTTTGCCAGCATTTCACAGTATAAAAATGAAATCATCCACACAGGAAAACGAGAGTGAGATAGAAAAAGAAAAAGAATAAAGCAATATAGAACTTGTCATGATTCATGAATTAGAAAAAGAAAAGCCACAATTGGCTTGGCTTGGTTTTATATATGATATGATATGATATGACGAACCAGGCTGGATCAAAGAAGTTGTAGGCAGATCTAGGTCCATATCTTCCAGATACGCATCTTCCAGATATTTCCTTGATCCAACTCAGATCCAATAAACTGGGCCCCCATCTGATCTGACCCAAGTTAAATTATTAGTTTAGGTGGAGTTTCAAGGGAAAAAAAATAAAGATCTCGCGTCTTGGAGGAGACTAATGTTTTCATAATTTCATCATCAAGCCTTATTCTTACTATATAGAGTTTGGTTACATGAATTCTGTTTTGAATCTTTTTTGGTAAATTAAGAATGAGTTGATGGGATACATAGGTTGAATCAATAGGAGTTTTTAGGGTCTTGAATGTTTGTAATGATCCGAGTCCCATAATAATGTTCACCATATTCTCCAATACAATACCCTTTCTTTACCACAATATATAAATAAAATAGCCAATAAGCAAAGCTTGGATTTTAAAAGTAAAAGCACTTCCTTGAATTTTTATTACTTCTCCAATAAACCCTGATTATTTTTAAATACCTTTTTCTTAAACAGAAATATTGACCTTCTATTAACTCAGGGGAAAAGTAAGGACAAGCCCAATGCGGATTTTTGAATTCCACTGCAGAACTATTAACATTCAAAATGTTAAAACCCCCAATTCTATACACTAATGCCTGCTCATGAATTGGCATCAATTCCGAATTGGCACCTACTCCAACTGTACTTTGGACCTAGAAATTCTGACCCTGGGCTGAACTGTTATTCTCCCTTATCTCAGTCAATTAGGCTAAGCTTTTGTTTTGGGGTCAGTTCTATGGATTTTGTTATAAACCCTATAAGGTCAAGTTCAAGACTGAAGTGACATTTGACAAAGTTGAAGTCAAGTAGAAAAATAATCCTACCCTACTGGATTTGGTAATTCCCTCTCCGCCACCTCTCGTCTCCCTCTTTCCCTCTCCGCCACCTCTCTTTCCCTCTTGTCTCCCTTCAACGAGAAAGAAGGGAAAAAAAGTAGGGGACAATGAGATATTCTGTCAGCTCCTTAGATGTGGAAGGCTTTGAAAGGTTAGGGTTCCACAGCGATAGAGAAGAGGGTAGAGCTTTTAAAGGTTAATATCCCTCCACGGACCTATGATGAAGAGTACATTTTGAAGATGTTGGTTGGTGCAGGAAGTTATAACAAGGATAAGTTGGGTATTTTTGAAAGTTATAACAATCATGTGATGCACATTTGAATGGCTTATGACAGAATGTTAACAGTAAAGAAAGTATTAGTCAATTGTCAAAAACAGGAGAGACACCGTTAGTCAATTTTCAAATAGTAAAGATATATTTAATCAATTAACTAAACCATAAGGGTAATTTAAAAAACTTACCCTTAAAAAAATAGAGATATTACTTAGGTTTTGGAACCATGGTTTGCAGGTTCTAGAACCAGCAACAAAATGAAAATGCTTTCCTAATTGTATTTGTGAACAAGATGAAATGCAAACACAACAACGAAAAGAACACCCCCCCCTCCCCCCCGCCCCTAAATCTCTAATACCCTTCACATTTCTCTCCCTTCCCGAGGGTCCATACTGTGTTCATTTCATTTGATCGTATCTCTTATGGATACACTCCTTTTATGTTTTCAATACTTTAAACTTCGCGCCTTTAATAGTTTATATTCTAATTAAGTTGCTACCAACAAAGCATCTCTCTCTCTCTTCTCCCCACTTCCCCACAAGAAGAGGAGAAGAGTTGCCTACAACGACAAAGTTAGCCAACTTTTAAGGGGACTAAGGAATCCTTTTAATCTTAGTTATTAAAGCTGAAAAAGCCAATAGAAGACGACTTTGGATGAATCCCACTTCTTCTTTTCTATGGTTTTTGTTTTTCTCTGTAACCAGTAAGAATAGTTCTAAAATTTAATGGAATCCATGCTTCTACTTGTTAACCTGACTCTTTCTCATTCAATCATGTATTCCTTATAAACTATAATTCTTTTACGTGTGGATGAACTGGCAGCATCTTTGCTTCAATTATAAGCCCTTCTGGTGTACCCCCTGTATTCTCCGACTGCCATTTCTCTGGGGTCTCAGCTTCTCTCTCTCTCTCTAGTCTTTACCCAGTTCCTTCTATTGACAAACGTTGGTGGAATGGGGAGAAAGCCTTGTTGCGAGAAGATTGGATTGAAGAGGGGTCCATGGACAATCGAGGAAGATCATAAGCTCATGAACTTCATCCTCAACAATGGCATACAATGCTGGCGTCTTGTTCCCAAGCTTGCAGGTGCTTGCAGATGAACATGCTAAACTTTTCTTCTGTGTTTTAATCTGATAAGAGTTAATATCATAAAATGATATATTGTCTGGTTTTTGGTTGATGATTTAGGTCTCATGAGGTGTGGGAAGAGCTGCAGATTAAGATGGATCAATTATCTGAGGCCCGACCTCAAGAGAGGAGCGTTGTCGGAGGTGGAAGAGGATCAGATAATCCAACTCCATTCTCGTCTCGGTAACAGGTCCTACACTGCATACTGTCATGCCTCTGCTTCACTTATCCATTCAAATATAGTGACGCCTTTATTGACTGTTGAGTTTTATTAATTAACAGAGTAATATTTGATGCAATTTGTATAATAAATAATGGATTCTTTTTCTTATGAACGCATTTTCAATTCTCTGTAGGTGGTCTAAGATTGCAGCCCATTTTCCTGGTCGCACAGATAACGAAATCAAGAACCATTGGAATACGCGAATTAAGAAGAGGTTAAAGATCATGGGTTTAGACCCTGTAACCCACAAGCCAATTGAGCAACGCGAAAAATGCAACTCTGAAGCTGAACAACTTTCACGGTTTCATTCCCAAAGAGAGCAACAGAAAGATTTAAAGATTGAGCCGTTGGACACTCCAGGACTAGAGGACGCTCCATTGCCTCAGATGGAAGGAGAAGACAGTTTTCAACCAGGTTCAGATGAAACGATCAATGTTTTGCATGGTTATGAGATGTTGTGGGAAGACTTGGACATGGGAATGATGATCAATCCAGAAAACAATCCCACAAATAGTTACAGTTCTTCGTTTTCTTTGGAAGATTCTTTCAGCCGATCAACTGGTGAATCCTCATCTCTGCAAGAAGACTCTGGGCAATGTTGGATCAATAATGTAAATTATTCAATCCCTCAATGGGATTTGTTCCATAACGTAGACGATATCTTCCTTTTGAAAAATAACCAATAAATGTCTGTTCTCTATTCCCTAAGGCCCTGTGCTCCCAGGTATGAGTGATCTCAAGGAAGGAAGAAAAAAAGAACAAAGCACAATATAGTTATTGAATATCTACTTGTGACAATTGGGATTCATGTCATCTCATCTCCCTCTGAGTTTCAGAACCCAAATACTCTATTTCCTAATTCACCCATCTCCTTCCCTTAGGTTCGTTCAGTTAATTTCCATTGTTTTAGTCCCCAAACTTGTATTTCTTATTATGGGTGTTCTTTCTTTTAGTTCCATTTGATTACTTCAAACAGTAAAGATCAAATTTGGGCGACAAATGAATCAGTAACTGTATATCATTACAGCCTGAAAAGATTAATCTGATAGGGGTGGAGGAGTGGGTTTGACTCCTAGGATTGGACTCACTGTACATTTTTATCTTCTTGTATCTTTTCTGTAAGTATGTTTTCATATGTAAAACGTTTGTATGAAGGCTTGTCCTCTAATCAATGGAATCTCAATTATTTCTATGACAATTTAATGTCTGTTGTTGGTTCGTGCCGGCCGGTATCTTATCAAATTGGTAGGACTAAAGCTGTTAAGCTAGTAAGAACATATATACTATAGAAAATGATTGCAAAAATACATATGGAGAAAAATAATAACTGTTTATAGACTTTTCTCTATGGAATATGAACTATTGAACTTTAAAATAGTCTGAAGATTCTTTTGGTACCTTCTCCCATTTGGTCAGAACATTGGTCTGGTCTGGTCTGGTCTGTTTCATGTAAGAACAAACCAGAGACAGAGAGGAGAAGCTCTTTTAAGGACCAACTCTTCAGCTCTAGTTTATTATATATTAAGTGCATCCAATAATGGAAACAAGGAATCAAATCAAAGAAGCACCAACTAAGTGGATATTCGAGAGTTGAACCCCACCCGTTCATTATCATTTTAACACTTATTATTCTGTTTGCCATTTTTAGAACAACAAAGTTGTATTTAGTTTTCTAATGTATATTGTTGTTGAATCAGAGACCCACCATCCAGGAAGGTGAAGCCCTTTACAACGACATAATAAACCTGCAAGAAAATCGAGTTTGATTAGTTAAGGGATTAAAATTTTAAATGAAGATGGTGCACCCATGTGACTGACGACAACCCTCTACTTCTCACAGTCGTCATCATCACTCAAAACAGAGAAAATGATAAACAAATACAGACGTGGCTATACAATAAAGATAAGATCAACTTTTAATGAGATAAATAAATTAAAGCTAGTGCATGCTTATTTATGTCAAAGTTAAGTATCCACTAGAACAGAAATTAAGCATCTTTTGTTAGTATAATATGATTTAATAGTAGTGTTTTCCTAGTTAATCACTACACTTGTTAGTGGTGGTGTTTGGCTGCTGTCAGATTTGGGCACGTGGAATTCGTGCCAGTGGACTGGGGGCAGGGCCTATGGATGTTTAATGAAATTCCAATCAGACGGCTCTAAAGGTGCCCAAGTGGACAGACTGATACATCCTTGTTGAATATTATTTTCCTAATTAATATCCACGGCCTGAGCCTAATGTGGATTGAGAGAGGTCCAGCGCCCAGCTGTTTTCTTTAATTTAACTAATCGCCGGCAAGGGCGCAAGGCGGCAATACAAATTCGTGTAGTTGGGGTGCTTTTAGAAGATAAAATATGGTGTTGGTTCAAGTTCAATGGATCTCTCTATGCCATATTATAATAGTCCTTGCTCAAAGTCATAGTTGGTCAGTGACTCGGGGAGGAGTGTTGTTAGGGTTCAGCTTCTTTCTATGAAATACCACAAAAAGAAAAAACTTCTTTCTGTGAAAATTTATGTTTTCTTTGCCGTTTACATCAAAGTAAATTAGCTTCAATATTTTAGTTCAGAAAAATTTTACATCCATTTTATGGAGAAATAAACGCAGCCTGAACCCTGGGAGGAAAGTAAGAAGAAAAAGATGATGAACAAAAACAAAATGATAACCATAAAATATATAAGAAACAGATGAGAAATAGGTATGATAACCATAACTTTTTTTTTTCTATGTATTTCTTTGCACATTCTCATTTTTAACAGGGGAAATCCCATTATCCATACTTCTAACTGAAGCAAACTCCCTACTCTGTTGAGTGTTGAGGTCATTCTCATATTTGGGAACTTTCTTCCATGAATCATTTTACTCAAAAGAAAATCAAAACTCAAAAATGACCATTAATGAGGGAAACAACAGTTGGGTACCCCCCCCCMCCCCCAATAAAAAGCAATTAAAAATAGAGAAAAGTAAAACCTTTTATCATCCCAATTCCGTTCATCATGTAGAGAAGCTTTAATCACATTCACAGCCAGAGAAATTAGGGTAATTTCACAATTCCAAAAAATATTATTTAAAACCTTTCTAGTAGACTAATATAAAGAATAAACAATTCAAATATGAAAGTCTAATCATGCATCTTTCGTCTCTATCCTTCAATCCCCTGCCATATTTGCACATCAATTTTCTCATCAGCACCCACTCACCCAGTGAGTTCTGAATCGAACTGGAATGAAATAGAGCCAGCCAGGCGTTTATGTCTAGAAAAAAGTACAAAGTAACCTAGGATCAGTGTTGCATGGATCCGATCAAGGTCCAAAAAATCGTTACCTATTGGCCCGTATTATTCGATACGTATCGTATCAGGCCCTTGTAGTATCAAGTCAGGGCCTGGTTTAGAGGGTAATCAGGACTTAAACCGGCCCCTTTGAACCAAAATCGAAAAAAATAACAAGTAAAAGCTAAAAAAAAGGCCGACACCGGACGATACACCCTACCGGCGTATTGGCCAGTATCGATACTTTTAACCTTAGATCCGATGTATGTCCAAGTGCCCAACATGAACACATCATCCATACAGGAGAGTCTATACAATAGTAACTGGAAAATTAGTTTTGGAGTCCAAAAGAAATGCTGCTCGCTGCATCCATCTCCCCAACCTACATTCATAGAAAAAAAAAGGCCTAAAAGGCTGCTACACGTTCAAAATATGATAATGGGGCTGGACGGCTGGGGCAGAAGCCTGACGTGGATCGCAGTATACAGACATTAAAATAAGACGATACCCCCATCTGAGGGATTTGCTACAAGATTCCACGTGGTTTTATTTGAGGGATCGCCCTACAAGATTCCACGTGGACGGCTGGGGCAGAAGCCTGACGTGGATCGCAGATATACAAGATCCCTCAGACGATACCCCCATCTGAGGGATCGCCCAATATACGAAACTGGAAGAAAAGAAATCCAACTTGCAACAATTCTACTTCTTTCCCGAAGTCGGTTAAAGAGTAATAATTTGTCTAGTTGTGGTTTTATTTCATCAACTCCAAGATGAAAACTTGCACACCAATTATTTCCACATTATGCATCAAAAAGAAATACTTATACAGGTGACAGTTAGGGTTAAGGGAGGACCAGAGTCCAGAACCAGGGAGTAGATTTTGGCTTCATTCCATTAACCCACTCTTGGTTCTTGCTGGCATGTCTTGAAACCCCCGCAAGGATTGATTTCCTTGCATAAATTGGAACACGATGTTAATCTGGATTTTGACATTCAAATTCTCAAATTAGATTTAAAAAAAAAAAGAGGCAGAATGTTAATTCGAGAATTCCATAGATTAATGGGTACAACCATCCGGCCCATCCCTTGATAATCATACAAATATCAAATATCGGGTATGGCACAAACAATGAATCAGGGAGGCATCTCTCATCCATTGGTAACTTTTCTCAACTCCAAAGGCAACTACTGACCTGCAGCTAGCTTATCCCATTTTCCGCCCCACCAGGACCAGGGTCACGCATCTTGACCCTAATTAATTGTCAAAGTCACAGCAACAACAGCTCTTAAAAAACTAAGTAACAAAGCCTACCAATAAGTTTTCAAAAAAGGTGGGGAATATCAACTCATCACCGGTCAACTGCAGAAGTTCACAGGTCTATCACTCGAGAAAGTTTCTGGATCCTGTTTAATAAGAAATCCCCTTGCTTAATGGTTGCCTGATATAGGGCATTCTTTGCATCCGGCCTATTTGTTTCAAGGACCCCAGCAACCTTGTCAATCTTGCAGTGAAGTTTCCCCACCGCAATAAAACGGGACAGCTCCCTGAATAAATACAAGGATAATATTGGGCAGTGTCTATGAACATCTCACACGAGGAGTCAATAAAAATAACAGAGAACAAATAATCTAAGATGAAGAATGAGACTTACAGATCAATAAAGTCCACAGTTACCCCAAAGGCTGTGGCCATTGCCTCCATAGTGACACTCTTGTATGATTCCAAAAACTGAGAATACACAACAGTACGCACCTCCCTCATGTAATAACGGAAGTGTGGATGCAGGTAACGGTCTAATTTTATCTGCTCTGTCAACCCAGCTGATGATCACCACAAGAAAAGGTCAATAAACTAGGAAGAAGAGAGCGGTCTGACAAACTTCAACAATAGTAGCTAGTAGAGTAACCTCAAGGTCCTCAACCTCCCAATAGATCCTTGGGATATCCAATATCACCAAATGAAAGCCACATCCCCCCAAAGAAACCCAAGTATCAGACAACCAGATATAACAAAGCCATAAAAGATACTTGTCAATTTATTCTTTTGAAACGAAAAGTCATAAACACTGGAATACACCAAAGGCACTTGCATTATAGGTCATCATCATGTTGACAAACATAGTTTTTCTTCTACACAAAAAATGAAATGAAAAAAGCTAGTGGAAACTTACAAAGTACCCACTTACCAAATGCTGAAAAGAAGGACTTGTATTGACAACCATAGAGAGAGTTCAAAAACTCCGATAGATATGGGACTTTCCCAATCACCGTTAATATCTCTGGAGCATCCACTACCTAACATGTATTAACTTTTGCAATCAGCAAGCTCCCTTGAAAGAAGGAAAATCAAGTTGACAAGTTCCATTTCTAATGTAAACAGAAAGACCAGGAACACCTAGCAAGAGTAGATTAAAATTGAAACATCACCAAGTATAAAGAGCTCAGACCACATGTAGAAAGAAAAGGTCAAAAGATTTACCTTTTGTTTTAAAGAAACTCTGTCCAGTGATATGATGCTTGTTAGGACGGTATAGAAAATGAATGTCTCATAAGGAAAAAGTTCATAGGTCGTGAACGTTGAGATGGAATCCAGAAATAGATTTGCAGCCTTCTTAAAGTTTCTAGTAGCCATGCAATACAAGCCTTCATATACTTTAAGACGATTCTTCCTCTCCCAATCTCCTCCCTCTTCAAACAAACTGCCATCCATGTGCATAAATTAGGAATAAATTTTGAAAATGCGATTGATGCCCTGGAGATATTAGGAAATTCTTAAACATCTCATCTTACTTCTTAGCTTTATCAATGCTTTTGGAGATGAGATCAAAGTCCATATAGAAAAACCCCATCTGCAGGCTGTAGAAGACTATGTCCATCTTGTGACCTATGGCTACTGTTTTGCTCTCTGTCAGTTTTAGTTGCTCCAATGCTTTTTCCTAGTAGTACATAAGAGTGCTAAATAAGATGCCAAAAACATAACTGTGTTGTTTTTAACTAAGAGAGGATTGTTGAGGCTCAAGAAGAAAAGCATTTGCATATACCTTGTCACTGATTCGAACATAGAACAAGGATTTAGCTAAATGAGCTTCACGAACTTCACTTTCTCCTAAATTCTCTTCAGCATCAGCAATTCTGTTCAAATGCATCCAGAAGATGTGTATAAGAATAACAATTTCAAAAAAAGTAAGCAATGCTTCAAAGCTCCAAATAGATGCATCCCAAACATTCAAGAACCAAGACAGGAGTCAATAAAATAACAGAATCTTATAGCATTCTCATGCAAAGACTCTATCTATAGAAGGTAGAACTTTTCAATAATTTAAAACATAAACTAGATTCCCAATAGAAGGAAGAAGAAAATATGAAAGGATTGTTGTGCTTGGTGACTTTATATACAGAGAAGAAGCCACCACCTAAAGCTGCCACATGAAAGCTGCTAAGGTTAAAGGTAATCCCTTTTTTTTGGATATTTTGGAGAAAATACATCAGACAAGGTGAGGGGTAGCATGACCCCGGGCATCAAAAAAAAAATGTCCACAAGTTCTTTATGAGAGAAAGATTGCCCATCAACCCTGTCAGGATGACCATAGATTATCTATGGTTATATATTCCTTTTGATAGATAACTTCTCTAAAGGCTCTACTAGACCTCTCTCCTAGTCACACAGGACATAAAATACAGGGCAAATTTCTTAAACTACCCCTACTGTTTAGCTAATTGACAAACTGTACCCTTACTGTTTAACTATTGTCTTAAACCACCTCTACTGTCTCTGACAATTGACTAGGTCTACCCCTACCATTAGCATCTGTTAATGTTTCGTCAAAATCCATACACGTCACACCACATGATGTATAATTTTTTTTTAAAACCCAATTACCCTTTGTCCCTCTTCTGTAAACCAGGCTTCTGTAAACGAGGTAAGAATCACCGGTCATGTCTGCATCGTCTCGTAACAGATCCAAACCCCAATGGCATTGCTCACATGGCTATCAGATCTGCAATAAACCATAACAGATGGAGCCACCGGAGAGATCGACAGTGGTGGAGAAGAGGATGATGTTGGCAAAGAGCAGTGGCAGCAATTGCTTACCTCTCAGCCATTGATGAGATCCTCCAGTTGATTGAGGATCTGAAGCTGTCATCGGACAACGAAGTCATGGACCATGCTGAGAGTGTTCTACAGATTGCGGTGTCTAAGTCTAAGGCTTGAGGAGGAGAGTTCCCTTCTACTCTGAGAACTCTGCTGAGGATGAATGTGAGAGACGACAGTAAGGAGCCATTCTAAAGGGTATTCTGAGGAAGGTGTTCTCAGCTCTCTGTTTTCCCTCTAACCAGAGACGCCCATCTCACTCTTCAATCATTAGCGATCTGAGAGATACTCAGATCTGAGGGGTTATACAAAGCTTAGAAATAAATGGAACACATACAGTCTGAGACAACCGCTGGAACCACACTAAAGGACCAAGTGAACTTCTTCCTTAGCTCAGAAATTCATCAAGACGGCATCCAAATAATTTTTTGGTGGTTTCAATTCTGGAACCACCAAACAAACCAGACATCCTATTAGGAAGTCAAAACCAAGGTGATGTATCCCACCATGAGAAAATGAGATTTCTTTTTTTTTTTTTTTTTTTGATGAATAGAAAATGAGATTTCTTTCAGATAGCAATAAAAGCTGAATGGGTGTTTGTTGTTCCAAATTGCAGATGTTGCAGGTGAAACAACAAGAGACAATGGATCACAACGGGCTTTACAGTTAGATATGATTTCGGTCATGAACAGAACATGGTACGACACCTCAGATTCAACACAGGGCTGGGCTCCATTGTAGGAGGAAAGAATCACCGATGAGGAACAACCACAAACAGAAAATTGAAAAAGTACTGAGAAGCTGCATCGTCCAACTGCACATTCTTGACCCCTGTCGCTTGGAACAGTAAAGAACAAAGACAAAGACGATGGCTGTTGAATGGTAACATTGCTGTTCGAACTGACTAGGTGTGGCAAAAATGATGGTATATGTTCGAACTTCTTAGGAATTAATTAAGAACTAGTCCCAAGTTCCGAGCTTCAAGTTACAAAGTCCCTATACCTCCTTTCCGTTTCCGATAATCCAGAAGTTAGAAACACCCAAAATTTGGCTTTTCCGCAAGACCCGTTTACACATTTAAATTAACAGGTCTGAGTGCGGAAACATTATCATTGTAATTCTTTTTGTCTTCTCATTATAAATTTACAATCCTCTGATCAGGTTCAGATTCAACTATCAGATTTGAATCTGATCTTGGAAAGCTGTCAGAGATTGTCTTCAAACTTCATCCTCTTTCATCTCCATCCATTTCAACTCCTCGGAGGCAAATAGTTGCAGATGGCATGTAGCCCATTGTCAATTATGGAGGTTCCGGAATTGAAACCTGCATCGTCATTAATGGAGACTTGTGCCTAGGCAACGTTCTAACCTCGATCCACACCAAAAGCTCCTTCACAACATGACTAACAACTTCATCAGTTGCCACCATCTTCTTCTCAAGGCACCTATTGTGTTCAGTCAAATCTCCTCTGCTTCCTCTCGTTAGAAATGCTCGTTGTCATGCCCCAAGATACTCATATCTGAGATCTGGACTGGATTTGACTGCCGGAGGAGCATGGAGCATGAGTCCGCCAGAATCGATTGTTGACACCGGAGAAGGAGCATGGAATCTGCATACTGGATCTGAGATCAGATCTGAGAGATACTCAACTCTGCACCCTGCTCATTGCCGCCACCATCGCTGCCGCTTGGAGAGAGAATGTTTGTCTCTCCTGCAGTTTTTCTCTTAACATAAGGGTAAAATGGACATTTCATCCTTTCCATTACAATTTAACGACGATGACATTTATCAGAAACAGTAGGGGTAGTTTAAGACAATAGTTAAACAGTAGGGGTATGGTTAGTCAATTAGCTAAACCATAAGGGTAGTTTAAGAAATTTCTGCAGTGAGTCACAAGAGAGATGGAAGGGATCTTGATCTAGGGAACCTTTGCCACCTGTGGCCAATTCTTGACAATGTCATCTGTTGAGTAACACTTGAATTCTTTCAATTTCTTCACCTAATGAGCCACTTTAACAGTGATCATCATCATCTAAACCTTGTTCTAACTATTTGGCATTGGCTACATGAATCCTGTGTCATATGAGAGAAATCACCTAAGCCTTCTCTTTTGGAGATTATCACAAGTATCAGTTTCAAGTGAACTACCTCCACACAAAAAAAGCCCTTATTTACGGAGGAACATGTCCTCAAAAAGGCCTAACAGGAAAACCCTCTGACCTTGAGGTCCAAAAGAGAGATTTATAAAAAGGACAAGAAAATAATCTAATGGAGTTAGTAATATAGATTTTGACATCAGAAAAAGATACATCAATAAATACTCCTTTTAGAGTATCAGTAGTAGATAAAGATTCAGATATTTCAAAATCACTAAGCCCTGAAGCCTCTTCTTAAACCCAAGTGCCAAACCAAGACTTGCTCTGGAAAGGAGGCACATTGAGAGACCAACTTATTGTTATGTAAAGAAATGGAATACAGAATTGAAATCTATCCTTGAATACCAAGTTAACCCACCACAGGTCTTCCCAAAACTTATTCTGTTACCTGATATAACATTTTACATTATGAATTGAAGAAACAAGGGGAGAAGGGACGAAATAGATTCCAAGGAAAGGTTAAGGAAGTGCTTGCATGCAACACTGCATCTCAATCATTTGCTTCCATACCATGAATGTTTGTTATCACAGTTTGCCATAACTTACCAAAAGTCCAAGGGGAATCTCCAAAGTTATTTGCTTAAAAGGAAGAAAGTTTGCACTTTTTTTTTTCTTTCTAGATTGCCCAAATGATAACCAAGAATAAATTCACCTGAAGGATCTTTGCTAGCTATCAAATGATTTCAATGTTGGTAGGCATGGTTCATGTCATCTCTAGGGTCTTTTTGAAAGTGATAAATAAGAGTGATACTATAAAAACAAAAATATATCGACAAGTCTTAGCAGATCCTATCTCTTTTGCATGTGATGCATGATGAGAAGAAAATTGTCTCTTGGTTGCAGTCTTTTTTTTTTGGCGAATAACAGGGCTTTCATTAAAAGAAAATAGTATTTACAACCATGGTTTTTAAAACCAAACCGGTCAGGGGTCCGGTTACCGGGTCGAACAGTCCGACCGTTCGAACCGAACGCTCAGCCCGTTCTGACAGAAAAATAAATAATTTTAAAAAAATAAAAAACGGTCAAAACCGTTCGAATGGTTAACTGCCCGGTTCAGCGGTTCGCTGACCAAAATCAACAGTTTTGAGGGGAAATCCGGTTTTGGGGGAAAACGGAACCAGTCAGGTGACCGGTTCCCGGTTTTCCGGTCCGACCGTCCAGTCCAGTCCGGTTTTGAAAACCATGTTTACAACTTTACATTCTATTTTACAAAGACCAAACTCTCACCCATTCATACATATTACAAATTAGCCCAAAAGATTTGTTCCCTCAAACCCCACTTAGTTGCAGTCTTACCACCTAATAGTATTGACATGAGGTCCAAATTATGGTTACTGGGTTCTGGCAGCTTTCCAGAGGAAGCTGATATTTGTTAGTTTAGAACTCAACAAGATTAGATAAAGATGGAGGTTTTTGAAAGCTTACGTTTAATTTTTTACTTTTCTATGTTCCTGCTTTCAGGCTAAGAAAGGAGGAAAAAAGGAAAATAAATTCTGACGGAATGTTGTTGGACTGCTTGAGACAGGAATTGAAATTCATAAGGTGGTATCTAGTTAACAAAAACTCCTAAAAGACAATTAAACATCGGAGAAACCATCTCTCATTCTCTCTCTCTCTCTAATTAGAAATCCGAACACCATTAGAGACGACATGGGCGAACAAAGATAAGCAACACTTAAGCAGGACAAAGCAATGACCTTTGTATCTGACAAACAGTCAAATTTTTCAAAAATGAAGAATACTTAAACATATATCTCGCTGAAATAGGTCTCTCTTGATTAAGGCCCCAATTTTTTTGGAAAAGATAAAAATAAATCCAAATTCTAATGAATAAAACCTCAAAAGACTAGCCGAAGTTGGTGCAAAGAACAATGAAACATTGAATTGATCTTATAATAAGTCCTACAGCCCCCTCTTCGTAGAAATTACGTTTCTTAAGGTGAAGGCTTTTTCCTGTATATGCATGTTTAACCTAATTTTTTTACTTCAAATTTAGCTAGGGGTGTTAAACCTCTAGATAGACCATAAATCACCAGAAATTTAACAATCAAATGAACCAATTATGAGAAGCTTACAGAAAAATGCAGTAAAATAAGAAATGAAAAAAAAAAGAAAATTGACTCACTTATCATCAAGCTTCTTGAGCTCTTCATCAATCTTTGTGCGCATGGATTCCAAAACTGCCTGATCCATCTCCAAAATCGAACTAGCAGCTAGAGTTTCGTACAGAGGAGCCATGTCTGCAGATGGAATTTAAATCTTAAAGGGAACAATGTCGTAATAAAGAATTAATGAGCTTTACTACAGAATCGTAGACCGGAAATGAAGAAGAAACGGGGGATTACCATTGGCTTTAACAAATGACAAGACTTCCTCCCTGAGGCGGACCTTCTCGATGTCCTCGACATCTGGATGGGTTAGGAGGAATAGTTTGTGGGCTAGCACAAGCTGTGGTTGCTGAGTTCCTTCTTGAGCTTCCATGGTTTCTCTCCTGATTCACTTTTGGTTCCTTTCTTCGCAAACCAAACCAGAGGGAGATTTGAGATTTCTTTGCTGGTTAGCCGTCACTAGATCGTATTTATAGACTAGCAAAAGGGTAACCATTAGAGTCTTGTACGAGTATTCGAGTAATGTGGCCATGTGGGTCAGTCGTGGGTGAGTCAGCGTTAGTGTGACGTGGCAAAATTTATGGATCAATAAATTATGCGTGTATTTGGAACCATGGAAGTTTATTGAATAAACGCTGCCTAGGCACCACTTCACATTTTCTCGTCAATGTTTTGCTGATGTCGCACTTGAGGCTATGTTTGGTTCAATTTTTATTCTTTTTCATTCTTACCTAAGATGAAATTCTAAAATGGAAAAGAATGGGTGAAAATAGGCAAAATGAGAAAATATTGTTATGAACCAAATACTTTTTTTCTTAAAAATGAATTCTTTTTAGACCGACAAGCATCCTATGTTACTCATTTTCATTCTTCAAAAAAAAAAAAAATTGTGCCATTATTCACAAACCGCCAGCTTAGTTCTCCAATAGTCAATGTTTACCAATTGGCATAGATGTTTTGTAAAAGTACTTTGCTTTTATAAAAGTATTTTCATAAAAGTGTTTTCATAAAACTACTTACATAAAAGTACTTTCGTAAAAATGCTTTTATAAAAGTACTTTCGTAAAAGTGCTTTCGTAAAAATGCTTTTATAAAAGTACTTTCGTAAAAGTGCTTTCGTAAAAGTACTTCCATAAAAGTGTTTTCATATAAAAGTACTATAAAAGTACTTATACAAAAGTAAACATGTATGGCAACAGTTTTATGGGTAGAGTTTCCTCAAAGAATGAAATAGCAAGATAAGAGCATAATATTTTTCATGTTGCAGGTTAGCCAATTTTTGTGCTATAGGGCTGATTTTTCATTCTAAAAAGAATGTGGCCCTAGGCAAGAATTTTGTAACCAAACACTAATGTTATTCATTATTGCCTAGAATGAGCAAGAATTAAGAGAATGAGGCCCAGAGCAACAAACCAAACATGGCTTAAGTGTCAATAAACGGGTTCATCATTGTTTTTATGAGTTATCCAAACAAATCAGGTACAAAGCGTTTAGTCAATAAATGTCCATGATTCCAAGCACATACTATGTGACAAGTGCCTAGAATTTTGCATGTGATCTTGACTTCCTACAACTTTTTTTTCTATTCTTCCTACATTAAACCAAGCGGGGACCCATGTGATGCATGGAAAATCTAAAAGATTGAATAATTTTATTTACTATTAATTAATTGATAAATTAATAATCAAAGTTTGCTATTAATTAATTAAAATTATTTAAAGTTATTGTTAATATTTAAAAAATAATAATTTTATTTATCATTTAATTTGATTTATAGAAAATAACTATTGTTAATTTAACATGAATAAATATTTTTTAATAAATTTCATTTTATTAATTATTTGTAGTAATTTTAATAGCTATTATTATTTTCATTATTTTTAAATTAAATTTTGGTTGACTTTAAATAAATAAAAATAATTACAAAAGTTAACATTTTTCTTAGTTTTACTAATAATTAACAATTATATAGGATAGCAACGGAGCGGGTTTGGGGTGGAACACCCCATCCCGATCCCTTTCCCGTCAAGACACTCTACCCCAGCCCACCCCATCGCCAATGTCAGGCGGGTTTAGGGCAAGGCACCCACTCCATGTTAGGGATGGAAAATGCTCGAATTTCCCCACCTCGTCCTCAATGTCGGGCGAGTTTAGGGCAAGATACCTTCTCATCAAGGATGGGGAATCCTCAAAATTTTCCCACCTGTCCCAAGTGTTGGGCGGGTTCAAGGCAAGGCATCCACTCCCCATAAATATAATATTCAATTTGATGACAAAAATGATCAAAAGGATATAGTAATATCAGTCGCATGGTAAAATTCTAAAAGTACACTAAGTGTTGGGCGGCTTCATTGCATAGAGTTAGAGGGCCAATGGGAAGCTTCGAGGTGTGTAGCTCCAGCTCGTACTCTGTTCCAACAATCATCAGGTTGTCGAATAGTCAAATTCAAGCTATCAATGAGTTGCCTTCTGCAAAGTTAGCAGAATCTCTGTTGGTAGAGCCACCTAATGTGATTTACAGGGCTCTCTCTCCTGGGACTTTTCTTGAGCTCTGTGGGAGGTTTAATGGCAGATTCTTGAAAGAGGTCCATCTCTTTTTTGGTTGAGGTCCGACCAGCTTTTGTTTAACACGGTGGAGGACGTCAATAAAAACTGATTAACAATTAATACAAAAAGGTGGTCGACCGGCTTGGGCGATCATGATTACCGTGGACTGGGTGCTCACGCTGTTACACTCGTCGATGAATACACTTGAACAAGAGAATCAAGGCCGAGAGAGGAGCGGGATGGAATGAGAAGTTAAATTCACCTTGCACGTATCAAACACACGTACGTTTTAAGAACACGTTGTGTGTTCTTATGCTACACGAACGGTGCACGCATTAATTCAACCTTGATAGAAGCCGGAATCTCTAATATGATAGTTTTTAATGGTTTAGAGGAGATATCTTATAAGAGAGATTTTGGGAATATTTTTAGGTAGTTGGGTTGAGAATGATGATATGCTTTAATGGGAGTGGTGGGAAGTAAGAGGAGAGAGTCAATGAAAATGTAGGGTGGGGGTAATAGAGCAAGGAGAGGCAAACTGATATGGACCATCTTGTTATGTATGTATGTATGTATGTATGTATGTATGTATGTATGTATGTATGTATGTATGTATGTATGTACATGGGCTTTGTTAAGCAGAAGTTAAACAATAGAAATACATAAGAGAATATAATTGTTTTATATTTTAACTTTTTAATAACCATCTCGATTGAATTCAACCTGAGTTAGTCGGTTTTCTAGTATTTTTCATTGGCTTTGGTTTAGGAACTTTTTAACCTGACCAAGTTATGTCAGTTTCGATTTGGCCATTTGTAAACCGACCAAAACTGAATTGGCCTGATCATAAATATATATTAATATTTTATATTTTAAATTTAATTTGTTTAATGCGGGAAAGTGAAAAAATTCACATATTTCTTAGTCTAAAATATTTTATATCACAAATTAAAATTTTTAATAATATCATTATAATTTATTAAATTTAAACTTAATTTTTAAGTTTAAATATTTTGAACAAACAAACCAAACCGAAAATAGACCCAAACTAATACAACCCAAATTGGTGGGTTTTCACTAATCCTTGAAAAGATCGATTTGGTCAAATTGACCAAATTCAAGTGACAAACTCCCGACTTGACTAGGTCATTTTGGGTAGCGAAATGGCTTGCAACTGAGCTGAACCAATCCTTGAACACTCATAATTTCAACTAAATTAATAGTCTAATCTCTAATAAATAACAATAGTTTAATATCTAATAATTATTGAAAATGTATAGCAAAAGTACACAATCATTGAAAATAAATTTATAATGAAAATATAATAAATATCTAATTAAAATACAATAATTACAAAAATATAATAAATACTGAAAATATATTAAATTAGTCAATAAATAGTGTAATATCAAATAATAGTTTAATCTCTAATAAATATTAATCTATAAATTATAAAAAAATATATAACTACTAAAAATAATTTTATAACAAAAATACAATAAATACGATAGATTAAATTTCAAAAGGCAAATAATAGTTGTTTGGTCTCCAATGATTATTGACAACTTTCTGTTAAATAAAAAAACAAAAATAGATTTATAAATAATTATTGAAAACATTTTTATCAAAAATACAATAAATAATTACTAAAAATAAAATAAATATTAATTTTAATATATATAAATATATAATGAATATAAACTATTATTGTAAAATTATAAATAATAAGTATTAAATTTTTGATAGTTATTTTCTATAATTATTAATTAATATAAGTGAAATTAGTTATTTACAATATTATTTAGTTATTTAAATAATATTGTTATTTTACTTTTTTTAAAATATTAATTATTTATTGAACTTAATAATCCATAAAATTATAAYTAGTACTATTATTACATGATTTGTTATTAATGTTGTAAAATATTAAATTATTATTAATATGAATATTGTGAGATCTGTTATAATTATTTTTCTACTTTTAATAAATTTCTTCAATTTATTACACAATTTCGTTTTTTTTAACTATTTAAGATTTAGTCATGTTAAACATTTTTTATTTAAATATTTAAATAATATGTAAAATATTTAAAAATTTTAATTATTTGAATTTTATTTATTTTAATGTTATTATGTAATATTAAATATTTTTATATAATTATTTACATGTTTTAAATGTTTTGTTATTTAAGATATTTAGTTATTGAAAATATTGTTTTATTTTTTAATGTTAAATTTATATTATTTGAATAACATTTAAATTGAATAATTCATATAATTATAATATATATTGTTACTACATAATTTCATGATGAATTTTGTATAAGTACAGAATTATCAATAATATGAATATTATTAAATATAATATAATTATTTTTTTTGTTTTGAATTAATATTTTAAATTTAGTATATAATTTTGTTATAATATTTAAATAATTCTGAATTTTTTTAATTGAAATTTTCTTTAGATAGATATAGATAAAAAGTGGGGGAGAGGATAAATTGGAATTAGAGATAGTTTAGGAGAGAATATTTCCACTATATTAGAGATAATTTAAGAGATAAATAGGAATTAGAGATAATTTTAGAGATAAATAGGAATTAGAGTCAATTTAGAAGAAAGTGGGGGAAAGTGGTCATCTGACTTGACGGATACATCAAAATTTATTTTAATACAATTTGGAGTTAGGGGGATCCATCTCACACATTTCAGTTTTCAAAATGTTCATATTTTGAATGTTGGGATTCTTGTTAGCCTCTCTCTCTCCCTCTCTCTCCCATTATTCTATCAAGTTCTAGTTTCTATCTTCCATTGTTTGATGGATTTGATTGCCCATTAACCTCCACACTTGTGAGGTTACATGGGCATTTGGCCAAAATATGATCTCTATCTTCTACAGCGCCACAAAATGGGCAATCTGTATGGTCATGCCTCTTTCTTAAAGATTTTTCCTTGTTGGGAGTTTATTATTCATTAATAGCCATAAAATATTTTTAATTTCTCTGACCAATACACTTAACCACTTGATTAATTTTACCAAGGTTGGATCCAAGTTATTACCATTCTTTAGAGAATTGTAGGCAGATTTGACCGATAAGGTTCCATTTGAAATTAATCCCCACACTCTATTGTCCTCCTTTTCACTAGAGGGATATGAATGGCCAGAACTTTTTCCGTAAGACAGTTCAGAGCAGGTAGGCATAAATGGTGAGCACATTGAGTAAGCACTTGAAAATTTTTTTGACACCTGTCCCTTTAATTAGCTTATCTTTGAAAAAGATTAAAATTAACTTTTGATACAATTGTTAGAGTATTTATTAAGTGTTCATTGAATGTGTTTACAATGCTCTGCCTACTAGATCCAATTGTAGGACTTGTCAATTTATTTCTGTCCCATTTCTTTGTTATCGGGTCAATAAAGTTTCCAACTTATATTTCTTGATTTACTTGATTCAAGTCTCTTGTATTTACAAATTCCTTAAAACGGTTGTTTATAGACTCTGAATCAGTTACCCACAAGAACTCTGCCTACGTCTACTCACAACACACTACCCCGTGAATTAAGAACATCTCGCCCTGTAATATAGTTCTACTTGTTTATACGCCTATTGATCACTCCAGAAGTTGCAAGTTGCTCCATTCTCGATGTTCCACAATATTCCTTTTTGGATATTATCCTTTTCATGAGTTATTTTCTTCCATGCTCATGAACTAGAATTAGGAGCTTGATGGTCCAAAAAAAATCAGTTTGTTTTAAGTATTTTTGATGGACAACTTGAATGCAGAGATTGCCACTATTATTTATGACTTGCTTCATTAAATTTGTTTGATTTATTTGAGTCATTTTTTAAACCCATGATGCCTCAATTTTTCTCATCCGCACAAAACCAAGTTCCAACTTCCAACTAGTGAGCGCATATGGTTTATTATTCGGTTTTGATCCCCATAACAAGTTTCTTTGTAATTTATCCATTTCCTTTAGAAATCCAAAAACGCTCATTTAGTATTGTGCTAAGTTTCTAACAATTGCTTTTAAAAGAGTTACCTTCCCTCCTAGAGACAATGTTTTGCTTTTCCACCCCCTAATTTACTTTTGATTTTTTTTTTTTCTAGGACCTCTTGGCAGGTGCTTTTTGTTACCCAAGGGGCACCCAAATACTTTTCTTCTTTGTTTGATCTTGGAATTCCGATTGCTCTCGTCAATGATCTTTAGAATCTTGATGGAACAGACTTTGAAAATATCTTGGTCAATTTCTGAAAGTTTGGTTTTTGACGAGAGGCACATACAACTTTGTTTAAAATGTCTTTAATACTATAGCGGGTTAGCTTTTGTGAAAAACTGAAAATCAAGCAATTACTAACAAATTGTAACATGGGATTGGAGGTTTTTAACTCCAAATTAGTTTGCCTTATGACATGAGGACATATTCTGGATTTGCCTAGTGAAGCCTTCACAACAGAGGACAGAGAGGTAAAGGGAGAGAGGGTTACCTCTGCTTGGCTTGAAGGGTTTAGTTGGGAAGCCGTTAACTAGAACTTGAAAGTTGACAGTTGCAGTTGTTACACCTCTTTTTTCTTTTTTTTTTTTTTTTTTTAATAACTAGTTGGCTTAACCGCTTAAACCTTTATTTTTTAACTAATTTGGCAGCTCAAATTAATGCATGCCACATGAATTCTGCAAGCTTTCACTAGACCTGTTGATGGGCCGGGTATTCCGATGGCCCGGCCTGGCCTGACCCGCACCCTGGTCAGGCTTGGTCATGTAATTAGGCCCGCGGGCCTGACCTCGGGCCTAACACAGTAAGTTCAACTGTGTTTCGAGCCGGGCTCGGGATTTGTCATAAAAGCCTGGCCTGAGCTCGGCCCGGCCCGACTCAACATTATATATTTTATATATTATATAAAATATATAAATAATATAATATTTATTGAAATATATATTTATAATTTAATATATACATTTTTTATTATTTTCTTTATAATTTTTCTTTCTCTTTCTCTATTTAACCGCTTCAACAATAGTAACAGTATGGGCTAAAATTCGGACTCGGGCCCAGGCCCGAGCTTCGGGCTTTTTATGAAGGTCAGGCTCGGACTCGGGCCTTAAAAAAATCTGTTAATACAGAGAAAACCTGACCCAAGCCCGATCCATGAACAGGTCTAACTTTCACCTAACAAGGCCCAAGGTTGCAAGTATAAGGCTCATGGAGGCCATGCAATTGATTGAACTCTATATTTGAGTTAGGGCCGTTAATGGGTGGTCAGGTCTAGTTCAGCACAGCTTGTACCAGTCCTGAACTGATTATTAATCAGGACAAAACGTAGACCCAAAACCATCTCGATTAAAAATCAGGATAATCAGGTATAGCTTGATAAATCGGATTATACTGACATATAATTTTGTTATCTAAATAATAATAAAAAGTTTTATTTTTGATAATATAACCTTCAAAAAATTAACAGTAAAACTGCAAATTATTCATATATTAATAAAATATAATAAGCATTTTAATCAAAATTATCTATCACATTTATCTTTTTAGACATAATATAATAAAAATTATAATAAAACTAGAAAATCTTTATATATTATTATCAAAATAATCGATTCCTATCTGAATTGGTTCAAAATAAGAATAACCAGAACCGACCCAATTACTAACAGGAATAAAATGACAGAACCAGAACTGACATGATCGGTTTGGTTGGGAATTCTGGGTTGGGGCATCCTAGTTCCTGACCAGAATTCAGAAATGGAATTGGGTTGGGCTATGGGTCAATCCGCTGACCCAATTGTCAAGTCTAATTGAGATTATTTATGCATTGTTAGAAACTTTCATTCTTTACATTTTTTTATTTAGCCTTTACTTTTTATTGTTTATTCGTTAAATTGTTAAATGTTCGAGCTTTTTTATTTTATATTTGGAATTTTAAGGTTTTTTTCTAAATTTTGACATTTTTCTTTATTTTTTGGAATGATCCGATTTGACCCATGGGTCAACCCTAACTCGAACATTTAAGATTAGGGTCTAGCATTTGATAACTTAACCCGAAATCAACCCGACCCAAAATCAACCCAAAATACCTTAACCCAACCCGACCCACTCAACCCAATTGCCAGGTCTAGTAGGGACTAGGGAGAGCCCCATTGACAACTTTCTCCTTATGCACGCATGTCCCTAAAAAATTGCACACAACTGAAAAACCATCAATTGTAAATCAAATAGCCATTAAATTGCAGTCCATTCTGTCAAGAATAAACTGCATGAGCAATGAACTGAATAGCCAAGATTGACATCCACAGGAACCAACTAAACCAAATGGTTGGCCTCTGCTGCATATGCATAGAAATAACGTTGAAGATGTAGATTTAAAAGGATTCCTCCATCATTACCCCACAGACTGCTCTCTCATGGACCCCAATTCTTTTGTGGTAAAACGAAAAATTATTGGGCATGCTCATCTGAAGCACCACGATCTATAATTATATCCGTCAGAGCCCACAAAGCAGAGATTATCCAAATAAACAGAGTGCCTTCTCTATCTCTCTCCGGAGACTTCCAGAAACCAAAGCCTCCGACTAAAGCAAAACCCTTTGAGAAATGTCCACGTCTCCTTTTAAATATCACCTCAAACCTACCTCCATCTGATTCTCTGTTGAGTTTCGCTTCATTATTTTGAGCTTCATCGTTTCTAACTTCCTATTTGCTTCGCCCTTGTCTTTTTTTTTTCAATAATCAGTAGTAAAAATAGAAAAATGTCGACGTCTTTCACAAATTTGAGCGTCCCTTTGGCTCCATCGTCCGAGAAAAACACTGGGTATAAGATTTCATTGGCTATATTTCCGCCTCTGTTGAGACCAATTGGTAATAGATACTACAGCAGTATCAAGGCCATGGCAGGAGGAGAAGGGAGAGACAACCTTGATCACTTGCAGAGAGCAAGCAAGCATCAATCCCCTCAACCAAAGACCCGAGTAGCCCCAGCTGCACCAGTAGGTAACTATTTATTAACTAATTCATTGAACATAAGGCCTGATAATGATAAAGTACTAGTCTGAACTTCGATGGACGGGTTTTGTGCAGGGATATGGGATCGTTTTCCGACAGCAAGGACAGTGCAGCAGATGATGGAGACGATGGAGAGAATGATGGAGGACCCTTTTGCTTACAGCAGCACCTGGCCATCGTCGACACTACAAGAGGGAGGGGGTTACAACAGCAGGAGGAGGACGCCATGGGAGATAAAAGAGGGGGAGCAAGAGTACGAGATGAGGTTTGATATGCCCGGTATGACCAGGAACGATGTGAAGGTGTGGGTGGAGGAGAAGATGTTGGTTGTTAAAGCCGAGAAGGTTCTAAAGAAGAAAGATGAGGATGGGCAACATGGAATTGAAGAAGAGAAAGAGGAGGAGTGGTCTCCCAAGAGCTACGGCAGGTATAGCAGCCGAATTGCTTTGCCGGAGAACGTCGAGTTCGAGAAGATCAAAGCAGAGGTCAAAGATGGAGTCTTGTATATAACCATTCCCAAGGCCACCACTTCCACCAAAATCTTGGACATTAACGTCCAATAACTTGTTTTTCTTTTCTTTTTCATTGTCTGTGGTGTTTCTGAAGTGTAATACAATACCTTAAAAAGATAGAACTTTCAGACTGTGAGTGAAGGTTTGATACTTCCAACTTCGGTTTAATCATGAAATCGGATCCCTAAATCAATACATTTGTACATTTTCACTAAATCTGGCAAATTTGGTAATAGAAAGGTTGCTGCCAATGATTACGGGATCAGAGATCATACATGGGAAGGCCAAGGAAAGAATGTCATACTGTCATGGACGAGAGCTGCCCACAAGGATCCTACCCACAGGCCATTACAGCTCTACATTGGGAACATCTTCCGTATTTACATGTTAACATTCATGGGAGATGTTCGGTATTGCGCTCGGTATCATTATCTAATTCAGAAATATGCAGAAGAGCCCCAAGAAGTTTCAGGATTACAAACGAGCAGCTGGGCAGCCCAGTGGATGAGACCGTTGATGTGGGGTATAGGAAGCAGATGCGCTCATCGCTCAAGCTGATGAATGAACTGCTGCCAATATACATGAAGGTGAAAATAGGACAGATCTCCCATTCTACATGATGTAAGACCTCCCTGGACATAAACAACTAAAACAGCTAAATAAATAAGAAAATTATATAATGTCTAATTAAGAGTAGGGAGGGAGAGAGAGAGAGAGCTAAGGACTGTTTAACAACGGGAAATCCATAACCAAACAAAAAAAAAAGGAAAAATCCATAAATACAAATGCAGGAACCATGCTCCCCACCATCCAAATGATCCTACATAGCATATCCATTGAGTCAATGCAGTACTGCCTTGGTAAACCATTGAACCAAGGAGACAAGAAGGTAGATGATCATACCTATCCTTGCTAGAACTAGTTTTTATCTCTATAGACCTATACTGCTAAATGCTAAAAAGTTATATATGATCATAATCAAATCAAATAGCTATAAAATCCCATTCAACCATGTCCAATCTGGCATGGTAGACATCCAAGATGAGAAGGGTAGAGTGAGGTTTCTGTAACTGCATGTGCAAAACACCATACCAGAATGCCCATGCTGGATTATTTGCTGGGGCAATTTCCTGTTTCTGATACCTCTTTTCAGGGGACCTGCTCTGGGAAGCCCTCTGTTACCAGGTAAGAACCATGGTTGACACTCTAAAGTGGGTGGTATAAGGATCTTTGGATAATGCAAGCTCCTGGGTTGCATCTATTTAAGTATCAGATTCTATCAAGTGATATCCACATTAGGAGAGTATAGTTTGTTGAGCGGATTCAAACATCCAAAGGACACGTGAAAAGCAATGCAAAAATTGAACTTTTGCCACATCAGTTCAGCTGTGGATACTTCCTTTCAATGGCTAGATCAGAAGAATGGACCTGCACAAGATCTCTTACAAGATCACCTGATACATATTGAGGTCATCTCTTACAATCTTTCCAACATCAAGCGTCTTTTCCTCCTGTAAAACAAGAAGCAGATAGGCAATAATCAGGAAAGAATTTCTATTTCTTTCATGGATAAAGGATAATTCAAATTTGTGCAAATCCAAGGCACCCTTGTTCTTTAATATTAATAATACAAGGATGAGACACATGATATACATGGCGGATACTGGGGCAAACATGGGTAGACCACTGATAGAACGAATCCGCCTGGTGGATCTTAGGACCAAAAACCCATCACATTTGATAAGCATAAACTGACATTCTACTGGTTCTTCCTTGAATGTTTGTCAATCTCTTCTTTCCCCTTATGTTATGATCGTTAGAGTAACAGACAGGATGGCTCATAGTAGGAGTGGCAATTTCTGACCCAACCTTGAATATGGGTTGACAGCTCATTGAATACTGTGTGTGTGTGTAGAGGGAGGGTGGGGGTCATGCCAATTAGGCTTTATACAGATGGGTGGTAAACAGGTTGATGGGTTAAATGGGTAGATTTTGGTTCAAACTCACATCTACTCAATTGCCACCCCTATCAAAGGTTCTGGCCAATGTTATGAGGTAGCATAATATTGATGGTTCAACTTTATCATCTTTCCAAGTTCCAACATATATCATAAACTTCATCTACATAAGAAGCATTCAATAATTTGGGAACCTCACAAATACTAACAACTCAAACCATATGGTCATTGGGTTTCATAAAGCCCCAACCATAGAACCAACTGTTTCTTTTCAAGTATGGATTATCTGTCAAATCATATGGCTGCAAGGATGCATTATATCTCTTAGAAGGAGGGAAACCCAGATTGGAGCTCTTGCTTCATGCTTTGGTTGATTGCTGGGGGTTGGCTTGTCCCAGGCTCATTTAATTCCCTTTGTTCTTACCCCCCAAAAAAAGAACAAAAACTTAGGTTTCTTGGAGTTCTTGTCTGCATCATCATCATCTTAACTGGATAGCCTCCTTATTTAAAAGTTGAGGGATCAGTAACCTCATCTGGATCTATTGTCTTTAACTCAGGTAACTTCTTGTTTTCACACTTCGCATTGGTATTTCTTCTGTTATCAGCATTTTCTACCCCGTACTTGACACAGTAAAAGATGTTTTTATCTCATTATTAACCTATTTATCACTTTTTGAACTAGCTCTGGTTGGAACCTCTTTGGCTTTGGTGCTAGACCCAAATTCCCAGTCAATAGTCTCCTAACTGAAACTGTCTTATAGGTAAAGGGGATTTTTTTGGTCAATTACATTAGAGAACACGAAAGGAGCCATTGCTTGGTGTAATGGTAAAATCCTGGGCTAAGTGTGAGAACAAGGGTTCAAGTCTAAGAGTAGCCACTTTGTGTGAAAAAATGTCAAAGGTTAGGATCGTATCCAGCCCACCCCTCCCAAGACCTTAGATAACTGGGAAAAAATTGGGTAATGGTCTTTTTTACTTGATGTTGTGTTTGGTTTGAAAGAAAAGGTAGAGAAAGGAAGGGAAATGTAAGGAAACCCGTATAAAACCTTGTATAGGTTTCTCTACCTGTCCCTTTCTTTCCCCATCTTTTCTTTCAAACCAAACACAGCCTAAGAGAACACAAAATCCACAGAGCAAGCCATCCTCTGTACTAAATGGACATGACTCTCCAACCTACTCGCCAGATAAGACAAGCAAATTAGTAGTTTCTTTCTCAAGCTGTAACCTGCCCCACAAAATGTAAAAAGTAAAGAATCCTACAGTTAATTCCTTGAGGAATTGAGTGCATCACAATATTACATCCTTGGTTGCTTCAAGTTCTTCTCTGGGCAGAATCTCCAGCTACAGGCAACAATTATATCTGAATCTTCACTCAAGGGCCAACAGAAATTGGGAGCATATAATGTTATTAACAGAAAAGGCATAGCTCATATATTGTCCTCTAGAAATTAAAGGAAACCTCAGAGGTTTCAACTTTTTGCTTTTGCCTTTTGTGTTTTTTGTAGGAATTTCTGGAAAACATTATGAATGAAATTTAGAAAACAAGTAAAAAAACTTAAATTTTCTATACTTTAAACATCATAAACTCACGATATTATGTTGTAGATTGAGATATTTTTGTTGCCAGATATATGACTTACCTTAAGAAATTAAAAGTTCTATTATTCGTTTTCTAAAGCTATAGATTATCTGTGAAGAAGATAAAGCATAGGGAGAAATGAGTGAGAAAGTTCACTGCTTCATGAAAGCTGATTGCACAAACTCATATTTGGACCAAATTCCAGATAAATGCCTACTTGTCACGGGGGTAATCGTTGGGGCCCCGTGCGGCACTCGAAATGGGCGAGTAAGCCTACGAAACAAAGCAAACACACACA